TATTGGTTGAATTGAAAAATAAACTATGCCAATTAAAAAATAGTTATTTAATAACGAACAACAAAATATTTAATTCCCGGAATTAAATCATATTAGGAATTTCCAGTATCATCTATTGTCCTCTAATATTTTAATAACAGGTAAACATGAATCAGACGACAGCTCAAATAAGGGATTAAAAAGGGATAGACACGAATTTGTTGAAGCCGACTAAAATAGTTTATGAGCGTTAATCTAACACAAATTCTGTTTTGTTGTTTTATATGACAAATCGTATACCCCTATACGGTAAACAGAGATATCAATCAAGTAAGAAAGGGATATGGGAGGTATATTTTATGGTATTTGTTGTGGCACTGCTTATAGTTTTTGAATTTTATGTATGTAGGTATATTATGTAAAACTATTCGAGTCCATTGACTGTTTTTTGCATGGAATTCCAATAGTTTTTTCTACCTGGTATTATTGATTCCAAAATAGTTAGCTTTTACATCTTACAAAACATCAACTTAGTAAAATTATCTAAATAAAAATTGACCTCTTATTTTCATATGTAATATGCATATACATACACAATTTGATTTATATAAGTTGGTGCATTCCAAAGTTTCTCTTCTTTACGCGCTTGTTTAGATTTTTTGATTTTTGCTAAGAAAGTTAAAATGGTTTATTTGTATTTTAGCATACTATAATTTAAACTTTTTATGACAAGAAAGGTAATTTATAAACTAGAAATAAACTTTTCAAATTTCTTCCTAAAACGATACTAATTCCGGGTCTGCTTATGTAAATTTCTCAACGGTTGAAGGCTTGAAAGCAGAAGTAGAAAACTATTCTTCGATGGTTAGATATTTTTAAGTTCCTTTACTCTCTGCCGGGGACCGCCACGTCCCGGAACACCTTCATTGCGGAAAGTTATACCCATCTTTTTCTTGCACGAAATGCGATTCCTTGTGTGTCAGACGCAAGCCTTAACATGCTTCCAGATATGTGTATTACGATTGTCAATCTGTTGTCTTCTCTCCAGTGCTGCTACTCGGCTATGACTGCTATTTACTGCGCATGAGTATTAACCTTAAAGTGACGTTATGCGCGAAATCAAAACGCCTATTTCCTTGTTTTTGGAATTAGGAATAGCGTTCCATTGTAACGGTATAAAGTTCAGTGGTCCAGACCGTTACTTATATATATTTCATTTGTTTATCTGGGATTAAAATAAAGTACACACCTATAATTATTTTTATATTTCACTCTGCCTACAATATACACATAGATAATAGGATTAATAAGACATGTTATAAAAGTAATTTTAAAAACCGACTTCAAAACACTGCAGATGCTCTTAAAAATTGAGTTTTTTTATTTTCCCATAGATCATCAGATCTTGACCAATTATATGAGAGACCACCCCGAAGGTATCCCCTTTCTAACAAAAAAAGAATAATAGAAATCCAACAAAGTGGTAAAAAATTATCGCTGAAAATACATAAAAAATTAAGAGTTTGATAATTTTCTCATAAGCCCCAAATTTATATGGGACCACCCCTGAGGCACCCCCTTTCTTAAGAAAAAGAATCATAGAAATCGAAGAACGTAGTAAAGAATTATCGATGAACATACATAAAAAAATATAGGTACCTATCCTAGTATTCTAAGAAACTCTATAATAACACCAGTATACAAAGCTGGAGACATGCAAAATAAAGAAAATTATCGACCAATTGCAATAACCAGCACAATAAATAAGCTGCTAGAAAAATGTATAAAACTAAGACTTAACAACCATCTAAAAGAAAATAATGTATTATCCGAAACACAGTTTTTGTTTCGTAGTAAGACGAGCACTGAAGATGCCATCCTACACCTGACTGAAAATATAACAAAAAATATCAATGATGGTTACAAAACCATTGGTATCTTTATTGACCTTGCAAGGGACTTTGACACTGTGGCGCACCCAATTCTGCTAAAAAAACTTGAGAATATTGAAATTAGAGGAGCTGAATGGAAACTATTTGATTCATACCTCAATGGTCGAACACAACAAATAAAAATCGATAACAATGTAAGCTGTAAGAAAAAAGTAGAATTGGGTCTGCCTCAGGGCACGGTCCTTGCGCCTATATTATTTTCAATTTACATTAACTACCTTACAAAGATATTGCCAGAAAGAATGGCCTCATTATCTGTTATGCAGATGACTCAGTTATATTAATTAAAGCAAAAACATGGACAGATACATATCGACTAGCAGAAAAATATATAAATTCTGGATGGATCAAAACCTTCTACAGTCCATCAAATTTCTAGAGGCTTTCGACGGCTAGACAGAGAAAGCACTACTGACAGGCATCCCGACGGATTTACGCAATGAAAGTACACTCTGTGCATCAAGTATTTCACTATTTCATTCAGACGTAAATGTCAGATGTAAATTTCACTAAAACATTTCTTTTATTTTCGTTTGTGTTTTTTGCTCATTACAGTTTAATAGAACCTAAGTATGGAGTTTAATAGCAAATTAAGAGGCCGCGTGATTAACAGTCAATCTCGCGAAATAATAGCCAATGTTATAGAGTTTATGAGAAGAGAAGGAAACTTTAATTCACCTTCAATACCATTTAAAAATGTAAATGATCGTGTTGCTGCAGCCACAGGAGTATCTAAAAACACTGTCGTCCGCATTTCTGGAGAGAAAAAAAGAATCGATAACCGTGAGATATCGGAATTTTCATCACCAAGAAAAACCATTAAAAAACCAAAAACAGTTAATGATATAGATGAAGCTGCACAAGAATCAAATTTTATTTTTTTATTATTAGATAGCTATTTTTGTTTCTGAGTTGTGTTCATTTACAGGCTCAATTTTTTTCCGTTTCTCCTTTTTGATTTTATATGGGGTTTCAAGTTGTTTTTGACTTATTTCGACGTAAATCACAACAACACACTTTTTTAATAAAGCAAATACGTGTTAAGAGGTATATGTACGTGTAAACTACAATTACAAAAAATTGATATGAAACCCATGAAACCACCAACAAAAATGTAAAGCTAGCTTCCGTACTAGAACATGGTGTCATTCGTCGAGATAATTTATCGTTTTGTTTAATAGATCAAGAAATGTAAATATTCCCCTGTTATTTTTTATAAAATTATAAGAGAAATAAATTTTTTTCTAAATAGTATAGTTTATTATTTTGTAGAAAAACAAAATTTCGAAAATTTTAGTAATGTTTCAGAAACAACCGTTATTAATAATAGGTACCATTTTCCTTAATAAGGTAGAAATAAAATATAAACTATTTCCACGATTTACAAAGGCCTACAAAAAAATTATAGGTATTTTCCGCTATCCTATAAAATTTATATTTTCTGACTCAATTTCAAAATTATTTATTGTTTCGGCCTTTACTTGATGAAAATCCATTTAATTTTGAAAGAGTAAACCAAATTTGGTAGATTTTCACACTTTTATTTTCAAAATCAATTTCAAAAGGTTGAAGGAATTCCAAAACACCTTTTATGGCATAATAATTATTTTCAATTCTACATACTATCTTTAGCTGCTTTTAAAAACGTTCTAAGAAAGTCCAATCAGACCAATTTAATCCCTAAACTATTCCACACTTTTAAAATTTAATTACCTAAAAATATTAAAAACTATTTAAAATAACTTGTTTAGCAGACTGTACAATAGCTATCTTAGTCACACGTAGCGCGTTCTCTGTCTGGGCGTCGAACACCTCTAGAAATTCGATGAACTGTAATCTTAAATGAAAGCAAAACATATTTTGTACCATTTTCAAAAAGTAATAATAATAATATTGATATCCAACCTGATATTAAAATTACCAATGCTTTAATGAGGATACAATATGCAACTGCACAAAAACTATAGACTCAGCATCAAATATAAAATATCTAGATGTTTATATTGACCAAAATCTTAAATATGATATTCATGTTCAATACATAACTAAGAAAATTAGGAAAACAATATATAAGTTTTACCAATTAAGGGAATTTATGACAAAAATACTGCTAAAAACTATATATCAAGCTTTAGTTGAATCTAGCATAAACTATGGTTTAAAAATTTGGGGAAGTACGTGTGGTAATATCTTACAGAATTTAACACTAACACAAAAATATATTCTCAAGATAATAAATAAAAAACCAAAAAGATATTCATCTGAAAGCTTATTCACTGAAAGGGGAGCTCTATCAATAAGAGAACTCTACGTAAAAAGCACCTTAAACTATATGAAATATAAAAACACTTATAAAAATTATATTCAACATAATATTAACACTAGATCCATCACCCAAGATCATGTCTATACAAACAGGTTTGGATTCCTTGCCTGGACCAAGACTCTTTAACATGTTACCGTCACATATCAAAAATATAAATATAATAAATAGAAAAATGTTTAATGTAAAAGCTTCTCACTGGATCAAAGAAAACAGTGAGACAATAATTACAAAGTTGCCTTTTTTAAAGTAAATTATTTTAAAGTTATAAATTAAAAAAAAAAAGTAATATCTATATAAATTATCAGTTATCTGGATGGTTAGTATTTCGTCTTTGGTATCACTCAGCTGGCGGAGACTGACGCATCAGCCTATAATTGGGTTCTGACAAGATTATTTTTATTTATTCTATAATTATTAGAAAATTATTTTGTATTTTATATGTATTATTATGTTAAATTGATAGGTAAGTATCCCAATGACTGTGGATGTACTCTCGACAAGTCATTCGTGACTTCGTGACTTAGAGAATCCATTCCAAACAATGTTCTGTTAATGTACTACTTAAATTATGTAAAATAAACGATTTTGAATTTGAATTTGAATATTCCGACTTAATTATTGAGAACATCTTCCGTTTTTTGAAGTCGGTCAAAAAGTGTTATAGTTGAATTGAATTTTGGCATTTTACTTCCTTTGGATACCCTCATGTGGACTACAAACTGTCAAAAATCAACTCTATTGTGTTTTCGCGCGTCCATTTAATATAAAGTTCATACTTAAATCTACTTGTACTAAATCTAATTGTACTATTTTTATGTATCTGCGTTTAAATTCATAAAAGAACTCGCAGTATGTAGGAAATTATGAATCGCACTTTTTTTATCAGCTTTATCACTTCTGTCACTTTTTCCACTCGAAGATGAAGTATCTGATGCTACGACTTTTATTTTTTTCTTTGTTATCCAGATGTTCACAGCAAATTTCAGTTCTATTTTTAGGGCTTCCCAGAATGACAACTGAAAATTAAGAAAAAGTATAAAAATATAAAATATATGTAACGTCAATTGGGTATTTATTTGCATAAGCGGCAACGCTGTTTCGAGGTCAATATTTTTAGCTAGAATCAAAGATATCGGATAATAGATACGCCCAAAGAAGTAGAGAGGGTAGAACGATAAGGTACCGTCTGCGCATCCATCACGAGTGTAGAAATTATGCGTGATTCAGCCTTCCACTCTTACACACGCAAATGACAAAGAGAGGTTGCCCTAAAGCACTGTAAACAAATTCCAGGATCGACTTTATTCAGCGATTATGTTCATGTTCAGCTCTGTTTTTTGTTTGTGTTTTGGCTGTTGTAAGCTTTTTTGGCGTCAATTCTTTGTTATCTTGCTTATATTTATGATTTTTTATGCTTTTATTCCGATTTAGTATTAAATTATACTTGTTAATTATTTTTCGATGCACTATTTTATAATTGTTGCACAAAATGTCGTTAAACCGTCCCTGAATTTTGTGTACAAAATGTGCAAAACGAAATTGTGCATAGTGTCCAGACTTTTTCATTGACAGTTATCATTCTACCCCTCTCCACTTCATTGGATACGCCTTGTTCAATTGAATTTTTCCGCAACCTCTTTCTGACAGTACGCTCTTCCTATGTTGTCAGATTTCTTCCTTCAAATATCCGGCATTAAATTTTTATTAAAAAATTATTATTCCCTTTAATATAATTTATTAAAAAAAAGAAAACTAAAGAATTGAAAGCATCAATATGAGTTTTTTATTCATTACAATAATTTAAAATTTTTATTTATCGTCATTTACACGTGTATCTTATGTGGATATAAGTTTGACATTTTGTTGACTGTGTCAAGTGACGGCTTAATTTTTATTGTGCTTTTTTGTAGTTTTTTAAGATTTTCGAGAATAATTTGAACATTGAACTGTTAAATAAGTACATTTACGATGGTGAGAAATTGTGTAGTGTCCCAAACTATTTGTAATAAGAAAAAGTTGTGATTCCGTTATGCAGACAACTCTGAAAGTAGGAGAGACGTGTAATTTAAAGCTCCTTTTTGTATATTTATATCTAAAAGTTTTTTATTTCATAAAGTTAATCGTGACAATACCGATGTAAAATTTGAAAGAAGATATATAATGCTTGGCATTCTATACGGGTGCAGCTTCGGCATATAGGTAGGCCATTTTCGCCCAGCCGAATGTCGGCAGCCCATTACATTGTAGCCGCGTTCATATATCTATATATAGTTCGTCCCGTAAGGATGCGTCCCATGCACGGCTAGCCAAATATTCACCGCGTTCGGCTCGCAAGGATGCCTCCCATGTCTGCAAAGCCAAATATGGACCACATGCAGTTTCTACTTCTTAATTACGTCAAATGGTACGGTACTCCCGGCTCAGAAGAAACCCCGCCAACGGCAATCCGAGTACTCGGCTTCCCGTACATGCCGGTGTCAGGCCGAGCGAATGCCAACTATTTGTGGTTTACTGGGTGGATTATTTGGACACTTTGGATTACAAAAAATGTTACTTTGTAACAAAAATTAGGAGAACATTTTTATTTTATACTTACTAAGAATACAGGTCGGATAGGCTCATTGCAAAAAAAACATAATCAACAAACATTTCAATTTCTAAGATTAATTATATTAATTAATAAGTGAAATAAAAAATCATTATTCAATGCGGAAAAAAGAATTGAAATCAAGTATTTTGACTCAATGATGAATAATATACGAATAACATTTTAAGTAAAAAAATGTATCTCCGACTATGGGTGGTAAATCAAAGAGGTCGATTTGTTAATGGTCTTAGCTAGTTGACTTCCCGCTAACAATTTCTTTTGTACACCAATTTTTTTCGAGTACTTCAAGCAGTGGCCGACCTTTTTTTGCATTTGCGGTATTATAGTTTATAGTTGACTTTATTGTTTAGTACAATTTATGTGCCTAGATCATTTTATCTATTTATCTCTTTTTAACAAAATTCGAGCCACACTTGGCGACGAGTTAGGGAAAGTTCAAACCCATTTTGGCGGCCCCTTTGAAGTTTTTTTGTTGTCGGCGGTTTACCTATATGGCATTACCGCTTTGAAACTGAGGATAAAATTTTCTTCAACAAAAAATATGTTTTTCGTTTTCGGCATGTCATGAAACAAACTGCTAAAGGAACAACGCAAATCACAGAAAACTAAATTTAAACAATAGTATACTAGTATACAAACAATATTAATGTATATACCAGGTGTCCCATATGTTTTTGGATAACTGTTAAAAGGGATAAAAGTGTTTTACCTGATGATCCCAAATCAACCTCTTGTAAAACTACCCGCTAGAAACCACCATTATCATTTATGTTTCAAACCACGCCACCACACTTTTTTTTAATGTGATACATTTTTCGCTTCATGTCAACGATATTATACGATGTATTGGTCAAAATTGTAAATAACAGGCTCATTTAACCTGTTTCAAAGGGGTGCGTGGTTTTTTACCATTTTTTTACCATTTTTTACCATTTTGACCATATAAATACAGCCTAAAAAAAGCAATAAGATATATAACTGAACTGAGGGTGATAAATTGGATGATATTAACAAAAAAACATGAGCTTATAATTGAAAAATTAATGCTAGGAATGGTTTTATTTTATTTATTTTACACCCTTAGTATTACCCTAATCCATTTGTAGCGTGGTGGCACTGCACCTTGCAGTTGATTGTACCACCATTTGAACGTCCCACTACTTTCTTAATTACTCACTCATTCACCGTTATTAATTTCACATCGTCGATGGTTAAACGCTTATTGACTAAATCACATGGTGGCATGGCCCATGGTAATCGTCCCAGCCGACAATCATCCACAACGTGACTGGAGATATCACGGCTTAACTGTTGCGAGAACGCGGATGTACACTAATCTCACGCTAGCCGCTCAGTTAGGGATGGTTTCTAGGGGGTGGTTTGGCAAAGGTTGATTTGATGCTATTAAATCATTTAGACAATAATTGGCCAGAATCCTATAGGACACCCGATATATATCCTACATCGGCACGTGTCGCAAGAAAGATTTTTATTTTGCTAATATCAAATATTTCACCAACTTATTTTTCAGATATACTAACTTTTCGTATTTCTATTTGCGATTTCTCGATAATAAATTCACAATTTTTAAGAAGTTAGTTAATTTAAATAAAAATCCAGTACCTAATTATTAATACCTAATTCTATTTTTTCTCGAACTGTTTTTAAGAAAATTAAACATAATCAAGTCACAGCTCCGTGAAATAAAACGAGCAAATCTAAAAAGAAATAATTTCAGAACACTTACTTACCTACCTTTATGCCGAATTTTAATTATAGAAAATGCTATGAATTTTGTATTTTTTTTGAGACATTCAATATGCTACTACTCTTTTATAAAACGTTCATAACCGATCTGAAAAATACTTAATACGCAAGCCATTTTTCCATCTATCACACAAATCATTTTCTAACGATTTCGTATAAAAGATGATTATGTGGACGTGAATTTACAAATACAGCGTGCAAAGGTCAACCGAATAACGAATTGTCAATGTTGCCACTATTAAATTCTTTGTGTATTTGAAATCCACGTTGTTTCGTCTTATGTTTGCACTTTAAACATATCAAAACTTTACTCCGAATACAGTGAATGTGTTGAATGTTGGAAAATGATTAGGAACGATTGGACTTGCTTGTTTTTAGATCTATCGACGAGTGCCTGAACTAAAACGTTGGTAAAACAGGGTTTGCCGCGTATATTATTTGAAATTTCAGCTTGTATTTTATTTCTCAATTTTCTCCGTTATTACATTGATTTATTTTTATTATTATCAAAGTTACATTATTTATATTGGCGTCATCAACTGCTTTGATTTATTTCAAAACGTCTACAAAATCTATTTAGTTTAAAAATGTTTTGTTGTATGGGTTAAGCTTTATGGTTCTTGTTTGTTATATAAACGCTCAATTTACGTTGTTTTTTTTGTAATTTTTATCTTGATTTTTAAATCCATATAACTTTTATTTAAAACTTGTTTGCGTGTCTATAACACAAATTGAAATATTAAACAATTATATATGTAAAAGTTTGACGCCAAATTGGTGGTCACCATAGAATAAAAAAACAAGAAACAATTTGATTTTGAACGAAAGATCGAAACCCGATTAGAGGTATAGAGAAGTTGAATTTTCAGATTTGTGCAATATTGACGTTATGTAGCGTTCGATAGCCGACACTGTGTAATTTATAATTTTTCTAAAGGCTTACTCCCTGAATAATAATTTGTCTCAGAAATTTTTGGTGTAATCAAAATAATCTACTCACGTGCTCTTCTACGGATATATTTCTAACATTCCATAAAAATTCGACCAATCCTAGTAATATCGCAATACTGACTCCAACTAGCAAAACCAAGAATATACCAAATGTTCTTGCTATATCCAAATCATTGCTATTATCATCTTTATCAATATTATTGTTCTAAAACATACAAGTTATAATTAGGGTTTATATGTACATGCAATAATAAATATGTATATGAGTTTGAAATTAAAAATCTATTTTTTTGAAACTTGGAAAATTTTAAAGAAATAGACAAGTGGGATTCCTAAAATAAGAGCATTTTAGTTTTTATTCTAGAAAAAAATGTTGTAACCAACACGTGCAAAAATTAACAGGTTTGTTTCACTCACAATAATATTAGATTTTTCTAATCATTATAATATTTACCTCATCGCAAGGCATTTTCTTTATTTTTTTCTTCCACCATTTAGTTTTCAGCTCACCGAGTTTCCCAGTTTCTTGAAGTTCCAATATGGCTTTATCTATAGCTCCCCTGTAAGGTGCGTCTAAAAAGAACAATTCTAGATAAATAATCCCAATTTATTTAAATGACTATTTAATATATTATATGTTTGTTAGCGGTGTGCCTTTGCTCCCCACCACACATTCTTGAAGTCTATACACATGCGTGTCAGGATCAATGAACTGGAGTGGGGTAGAAAGCCAATGTGCATATTGTATCAATAGAACAATATGCGACTCTATGGGCGCAGCCATTTTTATTTCTCATCTCACTCGGGAGTATTTATAATATCCATTTTCTGTTTCACTTTGTTATTGTTCAATCCACATGCTGGTGGATCAGACAATAACAAAGTGAAATAGAAAATGGTTGTTATAAATACTCCCGAGTGAGATGAAAAATAACCTGTCTTTGCCCATAGAGTCGCATGTTAAGCCTATTGACAAGCATTCTACCCCACTCCAGTTCATTGGTCAGGATGGACGAGCGAGAGAAGGCAGTGGCAGACGTGCAGTGGGCAGCACGCGAATAGACAGCGGCAATACCACAGTAACATTGTAATTGAGAATACTTGATCGTGAATTAATAATAATAATAATAATAATAATGACTTTATTGCTTTCAATACATACAAAATTATATAAATATACATAAAAAAATACTGAAAGACAAAAGGCGACGTTCGCACTTACTGGCGAGCTCAAAGATTGAGCCAGCAAATAAGCAGCGCTCTTCCACGCAACCCAGAAAAATATAAATAATTAAGTAATGCATACAGATTTTCTATGAAAAAAAAGTGAAATTCTAGCTTTCAATAAGAAAGCAAACAAACAATTAATATGGAAACTTAGAAATAATAAAAACAAAGGTCAAATTTTATAAATCCTAGATCTGTGTTGTTATTGTAGTTATTAATCAATAGTGACGAGTAAAAAATAGAAATAACATGAAATATTATTGTTAAACTAAATTTAATTAACAATATAAATTAAAAATTGTAAGTGATATCTCCGTTAAATATAAGGTTTTTGACTACTTTTCTAAAACTTGAGAGTGATGTGATATTAAATATTTTAGGGGCAAGGTTAAATAATTTGGCTGTGAAATACGAAAAGCAAGATCGGAATAAGTTTGTAGTGTGTTTCGGAAGTGTTAGGAAATTTTTAAATCTTACATTAACATTATGGACTTCAGATCTCCTTTTTATTTTTTCATACAAATAATCAGGTTTTTTTGATAACAATAATTTATGGATCAGGACATAGGCATGTAACAATCTCCTATTATTTAGATTAAGCCATCCCAAACTAGCCAGATGTTGAGATGTACGGGTACGACGACGAACCCCGCAAATAAATCTAACACACGCATTTTGAGTTCGTTGTAAACGGTTTTTATGAAATTGTGTAAGTGCAGGCCCATATACAATGTCACCGTAATTAAACTGAGACAGCACTAAGCTTTCGCAAAGCAACTTTTTGGTATTTCTGTTGAGAAATTCCCGATTAGAATAAATTAACTTTAGATTACAGAAAGATTTTTTTATTATAGAAGAGATATGTTCATCAATGTATATGCCCAGATTTTTCTCACAAACTGAGAATGTTAAAAATTCATTGTTAATACTTACCCTTAGAATATTTTTAATTCTATTTTTAACTTGTTTACGGCCGAAAAGCATAGCTTTGGATTTTGTAGCGTTAATTGTTAAGCAAAATTTGTTAGATATCTCCGAGATAGTTTGCAGATCTTCGTTGATTTTTGTGATAGCGCCATTCGATTCGGATTCTTTAAAGTCAAGGTAGAGTTGAGTGTCATCAGCGTAGAAATGAGAATTCATGTGTTTCAGATATTTAAAAAATTGAGAGGTATAAATTGAAAATAAGAGAGGACCTAAAATAGATCCCTGCGGTACTCCACGTGTAATATGTATTAAATTGGATGTTTTTTCTTCTATTTGAACTCTTTGATATCTTCCATTTAGGTAAGAGCTCAATAAATTTACTGAGGCTGTGTTAAATCCCATAAAATGACATAAAGCTAACAGTAAAGAGTGATTTATTTTGTCAAAAGCTTTTGAGTAATCTAAGAGAATTAGTATACATAATTTTTTAGCATCTATATACGAGTAAATATCGTCTAATACTTTAAGTAACGCTGTAGTGCAACTGTATTTTGGACGGAAGCCCGATTGATGTTTAGGTAGAAGATCAAATTGTGAAATATGAAAGCGAATTTGTTCGTCTAAAATTTTCTCAAAAGCCTTTGACAGAGTACAAAGTATACTAATTGGCCTCAGATCAGAATATTCAGTTGGGTTCTGTTTTTTGGGAAGCGGCAATACTTTTGATTGTTTCCATAAGGATGGGAAGGTGGAATTATTGATACAATGATTGACTATATGTGTCACGTAGGGTAGAATTGTAGGGCAAGTATGTAACAGCATTACAATATTTATTTCATCCGGACCAGTAGCATGGGATTTAATGGAGAGTAATTTTTCATATACTTTTAATTCATTAACTTCGGTAAACTTAAAATCTTGCAGATTCTCTTGGACATGAGACTCATAATGATTTAAAATGTGTATGTCTGGGTTATCTAGGCCACCAATACCGTGAATAAAATAATTATTTATTATTTCAGGATTTTTTAGTTCATTGGGAATAGTAGATTTTTTATTTTTTGTTATGTTCAGATTATTTAATTCTTTCCATATGTTACTTTTTTGTCTTAACTTAAATTCCAGGAATGCTTTTTTCTCTCTCTTAATTGCGTAATTAACTTGATTTTTTAGAGTTTTGTAATACTCCCAATGATTAGGAACTTTTGTTTTATTGAATCTCTCTAATGCCCTGTTTTTATATTTAATCATTATTTTTATTGTGTCTGTAAGCCAAGGTGCCTTATTTTTTGTTATTTTTATTTGCCGTACAGGGGCATGTTTCTGAAATAAATACAATATATTGTTATTTAGAATCTTAATTTTTTTGTCAATGTCGTTTGTTGTGTAGATTTCTGAAAAATCACACATATTCAAATCATGATTGAATTCATTTACGTTTAATCTTTTAAAATCGCGGTACTTGTGTAAAAAAGGTTTTAAATTATTTTTAACGTATCCAACGTTACATGAGGGTATTGAATGGTCTGAAACGGTAGAACTGGAAACTTTTATGTCATTAGGAGAAAGTATTTCTGAACAAATAATAACATCTAGTAAATTAGGACCTCTAGTTGGTTGGTCTACAACTTGTATTAGATTATATGAGTTTATAACTGAGTAAAACACCATTTATTATTAAGGTCTAGAAAATTTATATTTAAATCCCCAGCAATTATAATATAATTATGTCTTGTTGCCACCCAGTTAAGACATTCATCAAGTTCGTTTGAGAACTGTGCAAAAGAGAAGTCGCTAGGTCTGTAAGTTGAGCAAATAGCGTACTTATTATTATTATGTATAACTGAAATCCATAATTGTTCAGACTCAGTTCGGTTTAAACTTGATAATACAGAGCCAGCAAAACAATTTCTAATATAAATGGCTAAACCGCCTCCTCTTTTTGTCAACCGATCGCGTCGGAATAATTTATACCCAGGTAGAAGTACAAAATCATCATCAATTTGGGGTGAAAGCCATGTTTCAGAGACGGTAATTATATCGTAAATATCACAAACAGTACGTTTAAACTCAAAGAAATCAGCCAACACAGATCTAGAATTGATATGACAAATAGAAAATGAAAACATTAATTTAAATAAACAGTAAATTATAATTTAGTTTATTCCACTAAAGCTAACACCTGTTTTACTTATAAATAGATAATTAGACTAAAAAAAAATTCGCGTATAGAGATGGGATAACTTTGGTTTCACGAGAAATTACTAGTAACTTATACCACTTCTTGTTTGTTTGTCACTTTTATCACTTGACACTGAATTGGACCTGTGAAGCTTAATTTTTTCGAGCTCAGGATCAGCTGGTGAAGTTCTAGCTCTTTTGTTTGTTGTTTCCAGAGCTGGTGGTAAGTTTTGCGGGGTGGCAGGTTCTTCAGTGTTTACCTGAATGTTCTGTTCAAGTTCCTTTAAATTATTAATGGTGTATACCACTCCATCAACAAACAAAGACCAATTTTTAATTCTAGCAGATTTTTTTTGGCCTCTAGCTGCTTTAAGGTGCTTGAGAAGAAATGTTTGTGTTTCCCTATCTTCTTTACAGAGATCTTGATTAATAAAAATATTTTTTCCTTTGAGTTTTACACAATTGCGAAGTATTTCTTGCTTTATAAGATAGTTTGTAAATTCAACTTTGACAAGAAAACTTGTTTTACTCGGAATTTTAAAAATGTTGTCAATATCTGTAAGTGATACTTTAACTTTAAGTAAATCTTCTAGCTTTAATAGAATAAAATGTAGTAGATTTTCAGATTCTGGCACTTGTATACCGTGAATAATAATATTATTACGCCTAGACAGTCTTTCCAAAGTTATGCATCTGGTTTCTACGGCTTGTTGTTTAATTTCAAGATTTTTTAATTTATTTGTGTTTTCATCCAACCGATCAATAATATTTTTGTTTTCCTCTTTTATTTGCTGAGACAATTTGTTATTTTCTGACTGAATAACATCCAAAAGTTTCTTAAATAAATCACAGTTACTTAAATCGCCGGAGTCGCCCATCTTTAATTTGAAATGTTACCATCTAACAAAAACTCTTGACGATAAATGAGAATATTTGCCTTGTTACCGACCCAAAATAATATAAAGATTCAAATATCTATTGTTAGAATATATATTGAAGCTTCATACAACTTAAAACAAGTATATTATATATTCATTGACTCACATGGAAAGTTCCAGGAAAATATGTGCACTAGTTCACTGTTAAATTAACGTTTTTATAGGAGCACTTTTAATACGTCTTTGCAGTACAACGATATCTTTAATGTTCTACGATATCTTTAATGTTCTCCATTGAAAAGGTAGTTTAGACATTTTTATTAAGGATGGTACATCCCTTTTGTTTATAAATATACACCTTGATTAACCCTTTAAATTTTTCTATGAATGATACCAATTTTGCACCGTTCTGTAAGTACGATTTTGGTAAATATTGTGAAGACGCCCTTTCTTAAAAATTCAATTTTTCTTACAAAACTTACATTTCAGATTTCAGAGAGGAGAGTATTTTTTAAATATATAACCGGAAACGTTTTTCTAAGAAAAATACATATTAAAGGCATATGAGGATCATTAAGTGATCATTTGTGTATTCATTAGAATTTACAATTATATCTGTCATGCTTTGTCAATTCAAATATGCGCGGTGTTGCCAAGTGTCTAATTAAAATCAACCAAAAAGATTAAAAAAATACCTTATTTTTGACATAACATTTCCATACATTTCAAAAAAGCACTGTAATTTATTTCCAGTCACATTTGACGATTTATTTATCCATTTTGATTGAATTGCTGTAGTACATAATACTTAAATATTAATATTACATCTATAAATTAATAAACAAAGTACCTACTTTTCGACAACTTTTAAATATAATTTTATTATTACTTTGTATTATCCAAAAGTTTTAAACAAGTGAATTTATTTGGTTGACAAAATGACGCCAGCTAGCCAAATTTAAAGACTACTATCAACAAAAGCATAGCTTAATTAGTTCAATTTGTATTGGGTTAACTGTGACGTCAATCAGTGAATACTTTAAAAGTCATCCCATTTAAAACGTACATGGATACACCCTATTTTAAATTACGACGTTCAAACACTTTTAAATTCATAAGATAATTTTATTTATTTAATTATTTATTTAATATACAATGTCCATGGGGCTAACCCCAATTAGAGGAGAAGGGTTAACAAATAGAAAATATATTTTACAATAATAAATAATAATTGGTTCGCTAAAAGAATGTCTTCTCGAACACACAAATGACAAAAAACGAAGAACAAAAAACAAAAGGTGCATTTGTAGTAGATACATACTTTGATTACTATATGGTGCAAGAGAGAGGTCCGACACGCCCAACATAGGGCGCGGATATTTTGATTCTTATGCCACAGTTTATAGCTAAATAATCAGATCGCTCACTCTGCGTCGGCACTTTGGATCTCAATGTTCCAGTTTATACACTGCGCAACTCGGATAATACAATATATGACAACCGCCTATAATAAAACAGCAGTCTTCTGCGTATCCTGAATTTGTATCCCTGGAGTGGATATTAGTTTGGAACTTTCAACTGGTCCGAGTGAGCTAACTGATTCTTTAGCAATAAACTGTGACTTCAAAAATAATATTCACTGACACTGACAGCAGCAAGCAAATTATCAGGTGCGTTTTAATCAGCCGCTTCTGCTTCCGGAATTGTCGGTTTAGTCGTTTTAACCTGTCAGATTAAAACAAGAAAACCGACAATTCCGAAGCAGAAGCGGATGATTAAAACGCACCTATTAAAAATATTGCGCCAAGATGTAGGCAACACGTAATAAAGGTTCAAAATGGCGGAGTTTTCTCTCTCCTTTTAAAAGGCACTCAGAAAGTTGCGCAGTGAGACCATTCTCCGTATAGTAAAAGAAATTTCAAAGTATTTGGTAGTAGACAAACTTTTAAACCATACAAGTAATTGGGAGATAAAGATTCACAATAACAGCAAAAAAAGAGACAAAAGTTATGAACTATGAGCATAAACGTTTAACTGAACCGTTATAACTGTACAATATGTCCAGATTCGGTTCTAAGAGACAATAATTTGACACAGCTTGATTATTATTTATTACTAAGATCAGACGTGTTAGAGTTTGAAGAATTGGAAGAAAAGTCGTCGAGTCTAAGGATAATCTCGTAAATCTCTTTTTTTAGAATATCGACAATTTCGTTTTTGAAGCCAGAGACCTCATCTAACTTTTTGACCCAGAGAGATAATTAAACACATTTCACCTCAAATTCGGTTTAGAAATCCCCAAACTTAAATTAAATTTGACATATGACATTATATAAAAGGTAACCACGGTATGTGTGAAGTCACCACAGTAACCACAATACTGTAACCAAGTATGTTGTGGTAAGATTATAAAGAAATGCCTTAAAAGTATCCACCGAGTGACGTCACAGTTAAATCAGTAGAAATTGAACTAATTCAGCTATCCTCTTGTTGATGTAGTACTCTTTTAACTTGGCTGGCGTCATTTATCAAACAAATAAATTCACTTGATTCAAAAAAGTTTTAAAAGCTTTTGGATAACACAAAGTAATTATGTTTCAAAGTTTTTGGAAAGTACATTGTTTATTACTTTATAGATGACGTAATAATAATGTTTAAAAATTATATACTACAGCAATTCAATTAAAATGGATAAATAAATCATCGGGTGTGACCGGAAATAAATTAATAGAACTGCTTTTCAAAGAGTATGGAAATGTTATGTCAAAAATAAGGTATTATTTATATTTCTTTTTTGTTGATTTTAATTGGACACTTGACAAGACCGCGCTAATTTTTATTGTCAGAGCATGACAGTTATAATTCTAAATTCTAATGAATATTTGGAATATATAAATGTTAGGAATGTTAGACGTTAGGAATGATTGAAATGCGTAAAATAAGTCACATAAGAAATGCATGATATTAAAGTAATTAGGGTAATCCGAAAATTCTAAAGATAAATAGGGTTCTAAGTTAGAAGCAATTATTCAAGAAAATCAAAACCGCAAGTTATCGTGCCGGCATACATACACACAGACAACCAGACGAAATTTTTTTTTTGCATTTTCGGACTCACAATGATCGGAAACGCGAAAAAAGTATAAAAAATGGGGGTAAGAATGCAATACTGAGGTCCCCAAAATAATTAAGTTGGTTGAAGTTTGAATTCGTACTTTTTTCTTAACTTTTAGTATTTTTATTAAATCTGTTTATTACATTCTATGAACCTGATGAAGCCTAAGTTCTGTGCAGCATAGAAAATACAAAACTACACAAACGGAGATCTATTTTTTTAAGTTTCTTATCTATTTTTTCTAAGTACCGACTCTTCTTCATCGTTCTCAATTATTATATTCAATATCTTATACTTACTCATAGGCATTGCAATTCCATAACTTTTTGTATCAAGCCAATCACCTATTTGCTTCAATTTACAATTCGTTTCAACGTAATATTCAATCTGAGTAGATTCCATTAAAAATGCGTATAAGCCCTTTTTATCATTTAGCACTCTATTTACCCCATCTATGTTTTCTGATTCGAAAACACTTGGTCTTGTTGTTTTCATGAAAGTATACATTTTTTGAAACATTGTTATATTGGAATCCTAAAAACAAACTAGAATTAAGATATTCTATATGACTCTCTTCACAGTTAAACAAACGCCCTTTTAACCCCCCCATTTTTAATCAGATTTTTCTAAAATCAATAGGCTTTATCCCCTTACATAGATTGATATGTCCTAAAAATTTCAAGTTGATATTGTTTTCCGTTTTTAATTTATATTTTTTTATAAATTTTACCCGCTCTTAACCCCCTACTTTTACTCAGATTTTTTTAAAAATGAATAGGGTTCGTTCCATTGTAGAGTTTGATTTTTCCTAAAAAATTCAAATTGCTTTTTTGTTTTATGATTTTTTTAAAGTTTCAATCACCCCTTAACTACACTATTTTTAATTAGATTTAATTTAAAAACCATAGGTTTTGTACCCTTATAGAGACTGATTTCATATCATTTTTGTTTAAAATTTGATGAAAAGGATTTTGGTACAAAAATTTTAAAATTTGGATTAATATTAAAAATTTTGGTTTCTTAAAAGTAAACCTATAATACTCTTTACAGGCTACTGTGTGAAGAGAATAACAATTGCTTTCCAAATCACAATCATAATATCGCTCATTTGCTGCAATAACGACTTAACTGGAAATTATAATTTTTCTAGATAACGGGGTTTTAATTTTCCAAAGTTTTTATTATTACTTTGTATCGATATTAATTTTTTGTTAGTTGTATTTGTATAAAGTGGGGTTTTTAGAATGATAATGTGCACAGTGGTGAAAACAAAATTTGTTTTGAGTTATGCCATTCTTGTTAAAAAAATTCATTTTTAATATTGTATAACGCTGTTGCAGACAATAAAAAGATTATTTCTGTTATCATTTCTTTATCTGTCATTCTTTTAAAAATTTGTATATAATAAGTAAGAAATAAAACAATTTGAAGACCCCAGAAAAAAAAACTTTATTAAAATAAACATTTTACCCATTAAACACTACAACTATTTACGAATAAAATCTAAGAAAATAAATAATTTTGTGTAGATAATAATGACATTTTACTTCGTTTTATAGATTTTCAAAAATGTATTTGCAGTTGAAAAGAATGTGCTTTTGTTAATTAAATCCATTAAGTAGGTCTTTCTTTTTCCTCTCAAAAATGTTTGGAAATAAATGTTGGTTTAAACTCATTATTTACACTTTTATATATTTTATTATAATTTTTTTATTTTGTGTAATCCTCATCTGCAAATGAAGTATTATAAAGAAATGAGCGTGGGTTTTTTTCGGTTATTTCTGGCTTCTGTTCAAGTTATAGGACCCAATTCAGAATTTAACAACTTCAAGTCTTTGGAACTTTCCTGTTTTTCTAAAATGATTCTTGAAATAAGGCTTACCTTTGTGGCAAGTATGTCACACACTATTTTAGAAAACAAATAATATGCTACCGAAAAAAAGTGATTCGTATCAATTGAAATAATACTCTCTTGAAACTAGAAATGGTTGGGAGACAATAGTGACACTACCGCCCTCTCTCAGCCAGTTTCGACAACTCAGATATGACGTTCTACAACTATAATACCGTTGTATGAAGAAATATAGTAGGGTAACCTTATGGACTTATCATTGGAGGACGATGGACATAGAATGTAGATGGCGATACTGTACTTATGTCCAAGTCAGGTCTTTAGGTCATGTCTGTGCTTGAGTATGAATTATAATTTAAAATCTTCTTTTTCATTTCTACTTGTCTTCGGTAATGTATTTTTATAGTTACAATTTACTATTTCAAATTATTACAAAAGCACAGAATACAGGGTATTTGAAGGTCACATAAAATGCGAAAATAATCGATATAATAAAATAAACCAGTTTTTGTTTGAAAAAGATTGAATTAGTTGAGATTGGGTGGAATTTTACTATAATAGGGAACATTTTTTTCTATATTGTGGTTGGATTTTGGATATATCGCTGATGGTTAATTAAACTTGAGTTGTACGCTGTTAATTTATATTCACTTTTATTTAATGGTATCATCAAATTAAGAATAGGACATGAACAACTGAATATTATTGTTCAAAATGAGACGAATAGACGAAAATAAAAAATGTTTGGATAAAATGTTCTGAAATACAGGATGTTAAGTTTAAAATTAAAAAAGTAATAATGGGTAAATATATAGGTAGTTATAATTTTCAATATAATTTTACTAAAATCGGCACTGACAAAATTTAACTAACAGATTTTTTTGCTGTTAGGTAAACTTATAACATAATACCAAACACGTTTAGTGAAATTATACTAAGTAATAAATACATGTAAGCCACTAATTTTCAGTTTTCAACTTTTGACACCATTTGAAAACGAATCGAGTACCAATTTATTGTAGGCACATTTAGGAGTATTATTTTCGAAAGGCAAAATTAAAAATTTTTCATTGTTTTTTTTTTGTACATGGAAATACTTTGCTGCATGTCTGCTGCATGTCCTACAATGATGAAGCTCTCAACGAAGGCGTCTTAAAAAATAAATTATAGAAAATGCGAATGTTACATATTTGATTAGATAATTAAAATTGACATAAACTTTCATTGCTCAGGACGTTAAGTGCTCAACTTTGGGTTTCGTAAAGATCAGTTACTGACTACTACTATTTTTTTCTGAACTGTTATCAAAATACTACAAAATTTAGCAGAAAGATTGCATTAATTATATTTTTCATATTTTTTCCAAAATAAGAAAGAATGTTTTTATATGTAATTGAATCTGGGTTGGGAAATCCAAACTTGAATGCTTAACGACTTAAGTCTTGAAGGCACTTATATCAAGTTAATTATCTAATCAAATATGTGACGTGGCTTTTTAAAATACCATCATTGTGCGCTCCACTGCGTGTCCATCTTCTACAAGAGAAAAAAGGAGGAAACATTTGTAAAGTTGCCTTGTACAAATGTGTACCAAAAGAGGGCAACTAGCTCTCGTAAGCCTTTTTCGTTTAATCGTCTCATTATTTGAACACTAAGCGCCAGCATGGGAAATATATGTTAAAGTTAGTTTTAAGAACTTTTTACATTCAAATAAATAAAAACAATTTATAAATCTATTATTAAAATCTGTGTTGGAATAAAACATAAAATTATTGAATTTGAAAGATAATATTCTAAAAATGGAAAGGACTTCGGTCGAGAGCCTATTGGACTGAATATTCAGTTTAAAATCGTTTCTCTGGCCTATAAATCTTCAATTGTTTCAAAAAGAATAAAATAAAGTAGTTCTGTCTAAAACTAAAATAAATTTGCTATCTCGAAGTCCCCATCGATTATTTCCAAACTTTTCTTTATCGTCTTACTTGTAAGTTTTATATTACATTTTTTTTAATTTGCTATTTCTGTGGAATCATTAATTTTCACTTGCGTTATTGTTCTTCTAAAAAAGCGAAATATGACTCACGTTTTGCTTGATTGGCTTTAATTTTTGAGATAGTCAACCAGTCAAAATAAAAAAAAATTCAAAAAATAATAAGACATTAATTTATTTATTTAATCAGTTTTGTCTGAGCTAACTAAAAGGCTGTATTCTATAAACAATGAAAAATAGTGATTGTTGTTTTGAACTACTTAAAACATTTTCACTCGAATGGCGTGCGTGATTCAATTTAAAAATACTTTCCAGAATAAAACCACGTGTTACAGTTTTGACTTCATTTATTACTGAACAGCCAAGTCATATACAAAAACGTTAATCCAAAATCTAAATTAAAAGTAATAACAAATTGCCTATCTACTAGGGTCGGTAACCAAACGTATAAACAGAATGGGCGGATTTTGTTCATACTTAACATTACACTCGCGCACTGACACTTAACCTGGATTAAATATAACTGCAAATACAAATATTTACAAACAAATATACTTTTCCAAACAGTGATAAATTTTATAAAAAAAAATGTTTTTTATAAGATTTTCTTTTATGTTCAAAGTTAGGACTTTATAATATTGTGTCGTTCATAGAATTCTGTACTAAATAAGAGCACTGATTTTGGAAATAAATTTTAACCATTTTGGCAAGTTGTTGAACCTTGTAACATTGCATAATGCAATATAAAGACTAACTGAATATGTTTGCCACAGATAGACCACTTGTAGGTCTATCGATTTCGTCTTGAGCTATTCCTAAAGAGTGGAGCTGTTGAAAACTTTCTTTCAAGGTGATTTATTTCAACACTCAGAGCCAGCCGAGAGAACATTTTTTTCTTATATTCATGATCAACAGCCAAGATACATTTGGAAGTCGCTAATATATCCCTGTGACTATTTTTTTTTAATTTGTTTTCCAGTGTTGATTGTTGATTGATTTTTCCCTGATTAGTGATTTTCTTGTTCCTTAACTCAATATCTTGCAAACTGTTGATAGCTTTGATGAAATTTTGTAGCAAAGCTTGTTCAAATTTTGAAAACTATAAAAATATTCAGCTATTTTTATGGTTATAAACTTAGTTCAGTTAGAGGCAACATTTTCAGAAGCTTATTCCCTTTTTGTATTCTACTTGGAACTTTTCAATTTATTTAAAACATTGGACATTGTTATCAGTTGTTATTAGGTATTCTTTGTTATTGTTTATATATTTTGACATAACCGCACATAACCAAAATATTGACCAAAGTCCTTAACCACTTTTTATCACCCTAATCCAAAAATTGTATTTGTACGGTTTTGTCAACTGGAATAAATTTTCATTATTATGTTTAATTTTTCATGTCTTATCATGAATTGTTATTTTCAAATAAATAAAGATGTTTTTAACTATAATAGGTAGGTGCTAGAGGCCATGTGCCTGAACGAAAAGAAGACGTAGATGGCGTATCTGCATAGCATTAAAAATTGACTACTTCATTAAATCGTCACTAGATGCCGCTCGAGATTGCATCCAACACTTTTTACTGTTGCATTATCCTACTATATTATCTTCATACAACGATAATACATTCTTCTGAAAAATGAAGATTTTTAACTTGTCATTAGTGCAGCAAAATTAGCGATATTAATAGTATTAAATATAACATAATTTTATATGTCAAAACAATTTAGATAAGTAAAATGTGATATCGAAAAAATACGATATGCGAATACACTTTAAAATCTGATGAAAATACATTCAAAATAATTTTAGGTAGGTACCTTAAAGAATTGTTCAGTAGACCCTTTCTCCAAACACCCATATTTAATTTTGCTCTGTTTTGATAAGTCTTCAACATTTTTGATTGGTGGTTCTAAGTTAGCTTTGGTTAAAAATGCAGTCAAGTTAGCAATATAGGAATTGGTGATGATAAGAGCAAAGAACCACCACATTGCCAAAGCAAATCTAGATGAAATTCCTCTGAAAAATAAAAAAAAATAGCGTATGTTACACACAAATTGTCAAAGATGTGAGCACTGTTAAAAAAATTAAAGAGGAAGGAAAACACAATATTAATATTTTCCAAAAATTGTAGATATCTAAAGTGTATAGAAAAATGTTATAAAATTCTCTCGATAAAGGATTAGAAAGGATTTTTGTTTTAATATTGAACAAAAAAACATAAATATTTAAGTGAATAACATAAAAAGCAACCATCTAGATTAAAATTAGTTAAAAATTTTAAATTTGTGGGATTTCTATCTAATACAGATGACCCAAAATAGGTTAGTTACTTCGTTTTACCCTAATAGGCCATCTTCATTATTTCTTGAGTCACCTATTAACCTTTCCTAGTATTTCCTCTTCTTCCTCACAAACTGTCAACAAGATATAGGTACAAATATAACTTCTTTTTTCAAACTTACATCCATCTTTTCTGTTCTTAAGACGAATTTACTCTGCCTTGTTTCGGGACAGAAGACAAGAAGCACTGCGTGTGAATTAAAAATTGCGTTTGCATCAACGTGATGCAAAAAAAACGTTCGTGAGCATTGACCTCTACAGGTATTTTCGAGGTTAAACTAAGTTGTTATATTATTGTTATACGGAGTGGCCCAAAGTCTGGAAACGGCCAATTATCTCGAAAATTGCTAATCCTAATTGTACAAAATTTGGGGTACACCTATTTTGGGATACGGAGATTCCAGATTTGATATTTGCAATATTGCCAGATTTGCCGTTTCTCTTATATTATTAGTCACTTTGGTTTTTCAAATTCATCAAATTCAGATGGCTGACATTTTGAGAGTAAAAGGTGATATCTATCGCACTATTTCTTTGTCCTGGTCTTGTGACGAGAGTTCTCTCCCGTATTTAGAAAAACTAAACCAGAAATATTTAATGCTTCTTGTAAATTTTTACCTTCGCTATCTTCTGTTTCTGAGCCAAATGCTTGATCAAGAGCATTGAAGTGCCCACCAACAATACATGGCTTTGGTATGTTATTAAAAAAAGTTACAAATTTTTATAATCTTTGCATTTAACTCTAATCCTATTACGCCCAATTGAGTCGATATTTTTAATGTGGTTGTCGAGATCTGGATGAGCGTTGTAAATAATCTTTCCTATTTTCATAGGACTTAATTGTCCTACAAAATTTTCTGAATTGTTTTCAATATTAACAGAATACGGACCTGAATCAGTTGGACTAAATAAGTATATTTCTCTGTTGTTGATTGATGGAGAATTAGTTGGTTTGTTGATTTCTGAGATTTTATCAGTAACATTGGTTCCGTCTTTGCTAGTTAAATTTGTTGAATTTGCAATAAAAGAACTAATAATAGAACTTATTTGACTTACATTTGCTTCATTTATATTTTTTATTGCCGCTCATACTATCACTTATTTCTTTATCTTCTTCTTAGGGTTTTGGTTGCTGGAATATATTCCATCTGCGCTAAATGACTAATACCATTCATAATTTCATCATCACTTAGAACAACACGATTAGGGACTGCGAAAAGAGTTCCCGGGGAGAGTGCCTCCCCTATTGGAAAGACACTTCACGGGGCTGCCCACAAGGAGGAATATTATCTCCAATGCTGTGGTTAGTTCTTGTGGACGACTTACTTAAAATATTGTCCAAAGAAGGCTACCAGTACCTAGGATACGCAGACGACCTAGCAATTATCGTCAGGGGGCGATTTGCAGGTACAGTTTCGGAGCGATCTCAAACAGCTCTAAACATAAGTAAACAACTGGTGCAAAAAGGAACAATTGTCCATTAACGCACAAAAAACAACAGTTGTACCATTCACAAAAAAACGGGTACTTACAGGTTTAACACCACTAGTACTAAACAACACAGTTATCCCATTCGTCACAGAAGCCAAATACCTCGGAGTCATATTTGACCAAAGGCTGACGTGGAATCAACATCTCAAAAAACTCTCGTAAGCTGTAGAAGAATATGTGGGAAAAACTGGAGTCTAAACCCCAAAATGACCATATGGTTATACACAAGGGTAATAAGACCCATGATAACCTATGGCGCAGTGGCGTGGGTAACCAAAACTGCGCAGGCAAGTGCAATAGGCCAACTCACTAGCATTCAGCGGTTTGCTGTCTAAGTGCTACTGGGGCCATACGCACTACGCCGACTGCAGCAATGGAGAGGTATTATTAAATCTCACGCCACTGCACATCTTCATACAAGGAGAAACCAGGTCAGCTATTCACAGGCTAATGCAGGGACAAAACCCAATAAGCCAACTACATAGCGCCGACCATACAAGGCTATATCAGCAAGTAAAAAAGGATAATACTCTAGCTATGCCTACTGATACAGCCATAACCACATACAAATTTAAAAGAAATTTTCAAATTCAATTACCAACCCGAGAATCCTGGAAACAGGGACCTCCCGTACAGGCTGAACTCGTCTGGTACACAGACGGTTCAAAAACCAAGGAAGGAGCCGGTGCTGGAATCTATGGACACAAGTCGAAATCTACGATTTCGCTGAGTATAGGAAAATATGCAACAGTGTTCCAGGCTGAGTTAATAGCCATACAACACTGTGCAAGAGAAATATTAAATCAGCAAGTATCAGGCAAAACTATTGCCATATACTCTGATAGCCAAGCAGCTCTAAAGGCAATTCTCTTACCAGAAATCAAATCAAGACTGGTGAAAGACTGTCTAGAAGACCTGACAGAGCTAAGTAGTCAAAATAAGGTGATCTTAGCCTGGGTTCCAGGCCATGAGGGATATCAGGGCAACAAAAAGGCCGACGAATTAGCCCGAGAAGGCTCAGATAAAACCATGACAGGCCCCAAACCCTTCTGTGGAGTTGCTAAGGCATTATGCACGGCATCCATTAAACAATGGATGCAAAAAGAGTCTCATGAATGGTGGAACAACTATTCAAGACTGAGACCAAACAGTACATCAAGGAACCATCGACCAAGTTCACGAAAGACCAACAAATCGTTAGGATAACAGTAGGCCTTCTTACTGGACACTGTCGCAATTGAAGCCCTTGGTGTAAAAAGGATGCAAGCCACAATTTGTCGTGAAGTGACTGTTTTAGCTCAAAACAAGGATATTACTAGCCACATACAAATTATTTTACCTCTAATCCGAAAGATGTGCTATTTTTCGTAATATTCATATTTAAATAATTTTTTTATTTATATTTGACAACATTAAAACTTATTTTCTAATAACTTACTTAATATGGCATGTAACCAACCTAAGGTCTTCAATAATTTCAATAATAAAAATATTTTTTAATCAGGGCCCGACTTTTCCGTCGAACCTAACAAAGATAGCACCATTCCGTCTTGCTTGGTTCTCGACCGCCAAATCAAAGGCGCCGACACGGAGTTGTGGAGCTGTATTGTATAAGCTGTGCTAATACTTTACTAATATGCATTTTTACAACTAACCTGCAACCAACGCTGTCATATGGTTGATATAAAAAATTTTTAGAAACCGTCAGCTATTTCAGTTATTTACCTGAGTGTAAAAATACAAATACGTTGCAATAAAACGTGTGCGTGCTTGTTTAGAACAAAATTAAATCCAATATATCCCGATATCCCAGTAGCTGCGTTGTGGACACATGATTTGACTCGGGAGCCGCGTTGTGGGCAATGAAAGTGTTAAAGGAACATTCTTTGAAATTACTTACTTTGGTAAAATATCACATCCTTGATTCATAATAGTGCCCAAAGTGGCCCAATGACAATTCTGTAAAGTCCAAATATTTTCCAGTACTTTTGGCTTATCGTCGCAAGGATGCGGATTTTCCCAGTCGCCAGGAGTCATTCTCGCAATAAAATACAAGATAATAGATACTACTAGATACAATGTGGCTGAATAAATCCATACTGATGTACCAAATGGTTCCAAAAAAGCGAAAGTTCTTGTTGGATCTTTAGCAGGACTTTTATGCAGAATACTTATGCCTATAATAAAATATTGCTTCAAATAAAATATGAACTGGTTGCACGAGCAGAGGTGAAGTCACATAGAGGTTGATTTGCAAGTTATATTATGTTAGTGTAGAAAATACTGTGCATCGAGAAGTTATATAGGGTGTAAGTATAAAGTCGGTATAAGTTGGTACAAATCTTACCCAGAGTCATAAATGGCATACTAAAATCTACCACGGATTGTCGTTGATGGGTTATAGTTAGATCACATAGCGCTAAATGAGCTCTCTAAAAAAAATAAAGTCGTCAAAAAACTTATACCCGACAAATATCTTTTTAAGTTATGCTTTTAAAATGAGTTTAATTATTTTCTTAGGACTTACTCTTTCTAAAAGATCTCCTATTAGCCCAGTCCACCGTTTTTGATCTTCCAAATAGGATCCAAAGAGGTTACCTTCTGTTATATGTAATTCAAAAGTAAAATCAATATTTTTGGCAATTTCATCCATTAAATCTTTTGTATATCCCTCATATCGATCGTTACCTTCTAAAATTTGACCGTCTTGTGGTGTCACCTCCATTAAAAATGGATTACCAATTCTAAAAAAAAAGGAAACATTTAAGAAAAGCGCGTAATAATATTTCAAGGCTTTCATGTATAACAGGGTATATGGCCGACCTTTGCTTAGTTAGCTGAGGGAGTAAATTCGGGACTTAAGGCTGTTTTCGCGGTTCACTATTTTAGCATTATCCATTTATCTTAATTATTTATCACCAGTATAATTTAATTTTTTTCTGAAGTATTCAAAAGAAACACCCTAATAATCTCCAGTCTTTTAATTTTTTTTGTTAAAAGGAGGAGAGAGTAAGGCAAGAGAAGGTGTATTAAGTTTAGTTTGATTAAAAAAGCATATCAGATAAAAGAAAAAATTGAAAATTTCACTAAGGATGAAATTTTACTTAAATATAAGGATATGTTTACTGGAATTGGCAAATTTGCAAAAGAATATTGTATAAAGCTGAAAGTCAATGCAATTCCTTGTTCTAATCCTCTCCATAGAGAGAGAGAGAGAGATATGCTTTATTGTCGTAAAAAAATTTACAAAAATTTTATAAACAAAGCGTGTAACTTAAATACTAAACATATTATAAAAATAACTAAACAGCAGAAAAAACAAACAGAAACAAACAGACAAAATAGGAATAACAATTGCAATGGATATGCAATATCCGTCATTATAATTATTCTAATTTAATTTTTAAATTTAAACTTTAATATTTAATTATTTAATTAATGCCATTGTAAGTGGAACTCAAATGTCTAAAGTACGTTATAAAATTCTGCTACTGTATAATATGGTCTTTCTAGAAGAAAAGCTTTAGCCAGTCTTCGGAACTTATCGTATGTATTTATAGATTTTAATTGCATCGGAAGGTTATTATACAATTTTTTGGCATTGTAGGTAATGGAATGTTTTAATAGGTCAGAAGTGGGCATTGTTAAATAAACATCAGTCTCTAAATTTCTTGTAGGATATCTACGAGTCGGTCTTTCGGATAAATTTTGAATGTGCTTGCGAACTAAGCAGACGGATTCGAAAATAAATAGAGCAGGAAGGGTTAGAATTTTGAAATTTTTGAAGTAATTTTCGCAATGTGTCCTACTACTTAAACCAAATACATAGCGGATTGCTCTTTTTTGCAGTTTAAAAATAGATTCGAAAAGGTATAAGCTACAAGAACCCCAGAAAGGTAAACCATAGCGAAGGTGAGATTCGAATAAGGAAAAGTAGGTTATTAATGCAGTAGAAGGAGTCAGCTCATTAGAAACCGATTTAATGGCAAAACATGCGGAGGATAATTTTTTTGCTAAGGTATCTATATGAGCAGACCATTTTAGAGAATTGTCTATATAAAGACCTAAAAACTTGATTGAAGTCACCGTTTGGATCAGATTATTGTTTAGAGTTAGAGGTTGTAAAGTACCTCTGTAAGACAATGCTACAGTTTTACTGGTGTTGAAATAAAGTCCATTCGAATCAGACCAGGACTTAATAGTCACTAGATCTTCACTTATGATCCCTTATGATCACTTAGAATCCCTTTAAAAATTAGAGATAAATAATTGAAATACGAATTAACAAAATTATGTGATTTAGGTATAATTTCTAATGCTGAAAAATCAGTTGAATGGGTCAGTAGTTTGGTGATTGTAGAAAAACCGAATGGCAATTTACGTTTGTGTCTCGATCCTATATATTTAAATCAATCAATAGCAAAAGATTATTTTGAAATACCTAAATTTGAAGATCTATCTGCAAAACTAAAAAATGCTAGATATTTTAGTGAGTTAGATTTAAAAGATTCATTTTAGCAAATTCCCTTAAATGAGGAAAGTACTAAATATTGCACATTCTCAACTACATTTGGTTTGTATTCTTTTAAGCGCTTACCTTTTGGCTTAAATATATACGCCGAAGTTTTTCAAAAATATTTGTCAGAAAACATTGAAGATATAGATGGAGTAAATATTTATACAAATGATCTATTAATCTATGCTCAAAATAAAATTTCAAAAATGTATTGGAAAGGGCCAGAGAAATAAATATTAAATTTAATAAAGAAAAAATTCAATTTTTATTAACAAACGTAAAATACTTAGATCATAGTTTTGGCAAACCAGATGATGAAAAAATAAAAGCAATATTGGAGTACGATATACCAACGGATAAAAAAGCGTTACAGAGATTTTTAGGCGTCATAAATTATTTAAGAAACTTCATACCTAATTTAGCTAAAAAAATCATCCTTTGCTGTTACTATTAAAGAAAAATATTGAATTTACATATGAAAAATCAATACACGGTAAAATTTATCTACGCTACGCTATCTACAGTTACGCTTGTATTCATAATTCAATCCAGTGTTGCCAATCGCTGGATTTTATCCGAATTTCTGTTTTTTTACTCTAGATGATTTTTTTGGTTTTCAATTTTTTGTGGATTTTTTAATTTGGAATTTAATTCAAAATATCTCTTTATTTTTAATTTTGATTTAAACAATTTTAAGTTTAATGTTTTTTTTTTATTTAAAACATTGTTTTTACTTTTTTCTGAGTTTTTTACTTCTGCAGTCGGATTTCCTAAACTTTATTATTTGATAAATAATTTCGGGGAGAGTTCTAACCCCTAAAACCCGCTCCCGAAATACGGCTTTGTGGGGCCCCCAATCGGCCGGGGCCCCCGCTCCGCCTTATCGCCGCCACTGCTTCGATATCCAACAAAATTAGCAAGCAATCGATTTTTGCTAAGAGGCCGTTTAGCTGTTTTTCTATATTTTTACCACCTTCGTACAAAGAGACTTTTTCCAAACCGCAAAACGTAAAATCAATATCTCGGGGTATAAAGTTGAGGCTTTCCCTCATTACTTACATATCCTTTATGCTTACGCATATGTTGAATATGTTTAATTCTTACAAAATTAAAAAAATCGAATACAAATCAACTTAATAACTGAAATGGTAAGCATATTAGTAAAGTCCTAAATACGGACCTGCGTATTTAAATTTCTCTTCGGGACGAATTTAGCGCCATCTATTGGAGAAGCTACGAATTTTAATTAGGAAGTTTTCTTTTATATGCTAGATAAAAGTTTATAATTTCTTCCAAAATTTACTTCAATGAGCTTTTAAGGAAATTGACGCAATTAATTTAGATATTTTAAGTGACATTTGTTGCTTTAATATATAACCTATTCAAAGAAGAATTATTTTCATCATCGGGTAATTATTACTGGTATATTATTAGCTTTATTTCAAAAAAGCGATAATAATTGATAATAAAATCTAACACTCCTACGCATACATTTCTAAATATTTTTTTTACCTAGTAGAAACCATAACTTTGACCTTCTTCAGATTAGATGTTGCTGCCAAACTAGTTTCTTCAGAAGTTCTGGCAAAAACCATCGTTTCATTTAAGGCTTGATAAGTACCAATCAGTTGATCTTCGTCGAGAGTATACACATAGATGTTAAAATCTATTCTGTTACCAAAGTCATCAAATTTTATTGGACCAGTAATAGTAGGTAGATCTTCTTTCTAAAATAAATAATAATTATAAGCAGTATTAACTAATTGTTAGTTAGTTTTATAATAGGTTAAGTTTTAACTTACATGTCTAGTGGCGTTTATGATAGAAAAACCATTCATATATTTGTCATCTGCAAAACAATTCACTTTACTTTCTGGTAAATATGGCAAATCCTTTAGAGCTGCCGTTAAGTAAGTCAGAGCGTCCTGGAAAAGGGCAGTCTCGGTCTAAAAATTAACGACATGCAATTATACTGTGAACATTTAATGAAAATGATTAAACAGTTACGATTTATATTGTCATAATCAGGTGTAGTATCATATTCGGGTGGCTTGTTATAATCTTGGGTAATATCATAATTTTAGGTAATGCCATAATCAAGTGTAACTGTTAAAATCTAGTAAAATGTCAATATGTTGAAAGGATATGAGTGTTCATAAATGGTCATAATTAATTATTTATTGAGGAAACCGGACCTATCGCGAAATGCTAATTTCACCTTTATATGCCATACTCTTTGCCTCTCGTTCCGCGCTGCCAATCCAAAAGCTAAAATATAATATGAATAGTAATGGACGTATGCTCTTGCAGGTACAATCGCTATAAGTAAGAGAATAAAACTTACGTATATCTATTATATTGCAACTGTTCTCGCTTTAAGCTGTCGTGCGTATAAATTAACATTTAACAGTTTATGGGGTCTATTCTGTAACAATTCCTTTATATTTAACGGCCTTTTGTATTTAACAGAAATGTTTTAATTTAAGTATACATCTAAGTGGCATTAAATCTGGTTACACGCTTGTAACATACGTTCTTGTGATATGCGTGACTTTTGAAATAAGGTTCCATTTTTCTAAGTCGTAACGAGTTATATTTTATTATTATGTGTTCCCAAATACAATTTGTTCCATCGAAGAAATTGTATTATGCAACTCCTTAAAATACATAATTATCGCAATCCCTTAAAATATGTTTTATATTCGTTGAGATGTACCACGACAAAATATTTAAAATACCACCTTAGAAGAAGCAACATATTTATTAATATTGTTACGTTATAAAATAATGAAATAAGAAATCAATTATAAATAAATTTCAGTATCCGTATATTTAAGTTATCCACAGTTTTTTATTTTAACATCTAAACAATTATAACAAAGAACATATATATTAATATCAAGTTTAAGGACAGCTTGAAGTGGCGGATAAAGAATTTTGTTATTTCGCGATATGGAGTTCAACAGGTCTTCTGATAGAAAAGGTAATTATTGCCGTTATTTATCCCATTCCTTTAATCTAGGGCAATAATAATGACTAGACCTAGGAATATATGCACCCAAAAAGTAGTTAAATATGCGCATATATATGCCGAAAAATACTTCAATATATGCGTAAAAAATGGAAAAATATGCAGAGCATATGCAATAAGAGTAATTTGTTATTTGATCGAAATAGTTTATTAATATTTATTATTTGTTTTATTTTACAATACCTAATATAATACTTAATAGTTATTTAATTATTAACTAATTTTATTTACAAATCAACATTATTATAAAACGAATGAACAATCAGATGTTTTTCTAAATTATCTGTATTAAATGATTGTCTCCTATCAGTAAGTATGTACTTGTACAAAGAAAAACTCCTTTCGACATCTACAGAAGTAATAGGTGCAAACTTAAATTTTCCTGAAATATCTGGATGAATAGTATTAATATCTTCAAATTTACCAGAATAAATATTAGCAAGGTTTCTTAAAACAATAAATCCTTCATTTTTTAAAATTATATTTGAAAATTTATGAAAAATCGTCTTTCCAATATCATCCTGGACATTTTTACACTCTGATTCAAATGTCTTAATTAAATTTACGGAAGTCACCAAAGGTAAATTTTTTTGTTCTAAATCTAATATAATTTTGGGTACAAGAGCATAATTTTTTAAAAACACTAATTGCTTTGGTAATATGTGATTTTGAAACAACTTTTTTGTATTAGATATTCCCTTAGATGAATCATCAAAATCAAATATGAATTCTTTAATTTTTTCATAATTATCTGCGTAAAAAAAGGCAGCTTTAAGCCAGGTACCCCACCGAGTAATCACAGGTTCCGGTGGCATCTGTAATTCAGGAAATTTTTCTTTGTATAATTGAGTTCTTAGAGGAGCTTTAAGAAATATGTTTTTTACATTACTAATTAAATCATTTATTAAAGGAAAGTTAGACCTAATTTCTTCTGCAACTCTGTTAAGACCATCAGCCAAACATGTAACATGGATTAAGTTTTCAACATTTTTAAATTTTGTGCGGCTTTTACCATGTACGGGGCAGCATCGGATAACAGCAATAAACATTTTTCTGTTGGAACGGCTTCCGGAAGAAAAAAGGAAGACAATTCTGTCTGGATAAAACGAGTCATTGTCAAGTTATTTGTTTTATCTAATTGCTTTGAAGCGATTAGATATGGACCAATTTGCATTTCTTCGCGTAATGAACATATCATTAAATGGGCTATATATCGACCACAAGAATCTGTTGTTTCATCCACAATAATGTAGAAATGGTTTCCAACGATAATCTCATGAATTTTTTTACGAGTCTCAATGTATAAACTGTCAACACCACGTTTGCGTAATATACTTTGCTCTGGAATATTAAATTTACAGTATTTTTGCAAAAATTATCGGAGATTTGGATTATTTAATCGTATTAAAGGGATATTCGAAGTCACTAAAGCTTTGCATAAATCTTCATTAAAAATAACTTGTTCACTTCTAGACGATCCAGATTCTAAATATTGTTTCAAGGGAAGTTGACTTTGTCTGCGAGTGTCTTTAGATTTCTGCTTTGCTATATGTGAGGGTGTTTTCGCGTGTTGGTCGATTTGAAACTTTTTTTACATGGAATCTAAAACAAATAAATTCCTATAGATGTTGAAGTTTTAATTAAATTAAATAAATGCGTACGTTGTAAAGTTGCCCTACTTTTTTTTTAACTGTGAGTTGAAATAATATTTTACTGTCGTTTGATTTACCATTGTGAAAGGTCAAAATAAAATATAAAATAAAAAAGTACTTACAATTTTAGAACATGTTTTACAAAACACCTGGTTATCACCTTCTACAACAAAATCTGAATAAGATTTTACCCACGACTCAATTAATTTTGCCATTTTTCCCACTGGTTAAGACAAAACAACAATAAAGACTGAAATGAAGTTGAAAGTAAACTGAGTCATTTAGAAATTTGAAGATATTAATACAACTACCTGAAAGGATATTTAGCAAAATTTGTTGGTTTAAGGAGGGTGTTTATAATTTAATCATCTCAAGTACCTACACCATTAACCGTAATTTATTACAGGGAATAGTTAATCCTTTAAAATTTTAGGAAATCGACCTGTAAAGGCATTTCACAAAATATTATTTTGGTCCAAAACTCATAATTTTAATATGTCCAGCCAATTAGTACGTCAGATATATGCCAAAAAATTAACAAAATGTCAATATATGCTGTGCATTCAAAATCAAAAATTGTATATATATGCAACATATGCAAAATATGGCGTTTTGCATATATTCCTAGCTCTACTAATAACATATGTATTTTTAATATTAGTGGTAAAAAAATCAGTTGAAAAGTGAAATTATAAAGTTCGCACATTTTATTTTGAGGCTCAATTTATAATAATTTATTTCTCAATCTGGGTATATCGTCGGTCTAAAGCACACTTATCATATATCCAAAAACCCATTTTTTGACAATGGCAAATTTAAACTTCTTGAGTAGAATTATGCTTCAAATTCGTGTTTAGATTGAACAATAGGGCGTACTTGTTATATTTATTTATTTATTTTATGGGGTTTGTGAATACTGATTCAGCATTTTTTTAATAGTTTGAAAAAAAGGGACCGGAGATACAATATGTGTACCCTACATTTCAAAGAACAATCATCGTATCTCCTTATTCAAACCTGCTAAACTATATGCGATTTTATGAAGACGTACAGTAAAATAAGCTACTAATATTATTACAACTTTGTGTAAGATAATAATTATCTAGATATTTAATATTATTTTTTATCAATAAAAATCATAATGCAATCGAATGTATTGATATATTTTTAATATAATGTATACATTTAAATAAAACAATGGGTAAATTTTCTATGATTAGTTTTTATTAAATTAATAATAGGTACATTTTTTTGAACAGTAGTTTTAACAAGTAACCATGTACGTACTTATAAGCTGCTCTTATGTAAACTAATAACTAATAATACAATGAATAGTTTAAAATTAAAAAGGTAACAGATTAAATTGAACACAGTCGTCATACAAATTGTATGGATATCAAAACATATTACAAGATCTTCAATTACTATCGTTATCATATCCTGTAGGTAAGTATCGCTTGTTTATAGGTATGGTGAAAACGGGAGATCAATGATTGTGAATTTTAGTAGGTAATTTCTGACGAGCACAAATATTATATGGTGCTTACAACAAACGTGCACTAGAAAGTGTAATTAAATGCATTAATTCTCAGTTTTAAATTTGAATGTTTGTGCCCAATAAAGAAGGCTAAAATTCGATTTAATTGATACCAATATCGTCATAACATTAAATTTGAAGTTACAATATGTGTGCTTTAGATCGACGATATAATATACTAAGTATTAGGTAATGAACGATTTAAATATCTAAAGTTGAATTTATTTAATTAATGTTTAATGATTTAGATTCCACGAGATAGAACATTTTGGGCTAACCAGATGATTGAAAAATTGTAAATATTTTTTTAATTGCTTACTTCCGGAATTAGTAGATCCGATGTTTCCCAGAGGATTGAAAATTCATAATAACCCCATATCAAACCATATTGTAATATAAACATTTGCGATCTACACAATAATCTTTTTGAAACCCTCATATTTATAAGTGCTTTATATATAGGGTTGCCAGATGTCCGGTTTTCGACCGGACAGTCCGGTTTTTCTGTTGCACATCCGGTTGAAAAAACTTGATAAACCGGACAAGAGAAAGTCCGGTTTTTTGTTGAATTTATAAAAATTCGTGTTGTAATTTGAGAAAAAATTTAAAATGTTATTGTTAGAATTAAGATACATATGGCATTGATGATAAGCTATCTTTCAGACTATCAGTCAAAACAATTTACGAAAAATGTTCTAAATGTTTACCAAAGAAGTGAATAATAATTTCAAGAATTTCAGTTGTTTAGACCTAGAAACTGGAATATTGCCTACGCCGGATCAATTGATTGATTTGTGGTTAATTTCTCCCTGGAAACAGGAACCCCCACCTGAAAACATGTATGAAGAACTGGCTGCATTACAAACTGTTTTTCCTGCACTTGAAGGAAAAATATGTGGTGTACATTTTTCAGGAATGAAGCAGCACCAAATTTGCTCAAAATAGTTCAATATGTTTGCAGCATTCCTATATCCAATGCCTTTGTTGAAAGGATATTTAGCGTTATGGGAAGTAATTAGACAGATGTCTATACCTAGTAGAAAGTGTGAAAAGCGAACTTTGCGTTTTCTTTAACATCAATAGCAGCTGCACTGAATTTAAAGATAACATATCGGCGGCATCTAATGCCAGATATGTTAAAAAGTAGTCTAACTCCGTTTTTTTTTGTATGATTTGCACTTTTATGATTTTTGTGTTCTGGATCTGACCTTATGTTATTATATTTTTTAATAAAATATATATTTATAATTTGGTATGGTTGTCCGGATGTCCGGTTTTTTTTTTTTGTAACACATCCGGCAACCCTATTTATATAGAAAAAGTCACTTAGAACGTCACCTAATGACAAAAAGTAAATAGGTATTTTTAAATTTCGTATGCGTATCTTCATAATGCTATAATGCTACTTTTTAAAAATTATTTTTACCTCAAAAAAAAGAAATGTTTTTTTTTTACCTAGAGAATGTCCTATATTTTATTACATATATAGCTTTTATCACTGTTGTTCAAAAATAGTTCTAAATTGGAGAAAACGATTTATGTCCTAATAATAATAACAACAATAATAATTTTTATTTGTGTGGCTTTGTAGGTAATCACAAGATTTTTGACTACCTTGCATGAAATTTTGATTATATTAAAAATATTAATATAAACACTTTCACACTACTAAATACTAAAAGCATTAAAAAGGATATAAAAATTTTCGAATATGAAATTGTATTTATAAGTGCGCCACTGGAAATACTTCGCGATTGATTGTTTCTCGGTATAATTGAGAGCTTTAAATTTCTGCAACGATATGGCAGACTCTGCAGAGACATTTTAGGAAAAAGGTGGGAAAGCTTTTTATTTAAAAACTGCTTGAAATTTATTAAAACAAAAGCAGCAAATTTTCATAGATTTAATACTGAATGGCGCGGAAACTTCTTTTTTTAATTTTCCGTTTAAAAATTAACAAAATAAATATTTATCAATGGTTTAAAAAAAATTCAAGGTTTCTCTACCCTAAGTTTGGTAATTATTAGTACTTCATGAAAATTTTACAAAAATCGGACTAAAAATAAAGTCGTAAAATGCTTTTAAAATTTTTCAAGGTGTTTGGTTTGCTCTTAATTGACATTTCTTATATGTTGTTTCAGATGGAATCAGCGGCTTCAAATGGTGAGTTTTTGATTTAAATTTCTAATTGTTATATGTTACTAATTTTCTTATTTTGTGACTTATTTTTATTTCTCTTAAAATTCCCAATTTTGTGTTATATTTTTTCACTAAGAATATATATTAATTGTTAGAATATATAGGGCGTTCACTCCTAACGGGACTGTCACACATTTCCATTTTGTTGCCTAAAGGCATTATACCGGTATCGTATTCAGAAATGGTAGCTTAAAGATCACATACTTTGATTACTATACGAGGCAAGAGAGAGGTCCGACACGCCCAACATAGGGCGCGGCCATTTTGAACCCTGTGACACAGTTTACAGCTAAAGAATCAGATCGCTCACTCTGCGTCGGCACTTTGGATCTCAATGCAACTCGGATAATATAATATATGACAACCGCCTATAATAAAACAGCAGTCTTCTGCGCATCCTGAGTTTGTATCCCTGGAGTGGATGTTATTTTGGAACTTTCAACTGGTCCGAGTGAGCTAACTGATTCTTTAGCAATAAACTGTCAGATTAAAACAAGAAAACCGACAATTCCGAAGCAGAAGCGGATGATTAAAATGCACCTATTAAAAATATTGTGCCAAGATATAGGCAACACGTAATAAGGGTTCAAAATGGCGGAGTTTTCTATCTCCTTTTAAAAGGCACTCAGAAAGCTGCGCAGTGCGACCATTCTCCGTATAGTAAAAGAAAATCAAAGTATGTGTTAAAGATGGATAACTTAAAATTTATTAAAATGTTTATAATGTCCGACAAAATTGGAATCTTACCTTTAATTATTTTTTTTTTGTTGCTAAGAGTTGTTAGATAGGGTCCGACTACAATTAGAAGGATACAGCTACGCCATCATTTGGCAAAGTAGTTAATTAATTATTGCAGCCTACTGGGGGTTTAGTGGGGTGTTAATATTACAGGAATCTAGGAAATATTGTATTATACCTAACAAACTTACTTATTTTTTATTTATAAATAGTTATAGATAATATGTATTCGAAATTCGAAGTAATAGTTATGACGTAGCGGTGTTCTTCTAATTGTAATCGGACTTTACTCTGCCACGCAACTAAACAGTTTAGATTTTGTATTTAATGCAAGAACAACAATAATACATTTAATATTTTTAGAGAAACTCAGTATTTACTTTAATCGTAGCTACGTGTTTTATTTTAAAAATTCTTTTTTCGCTCAATATAAATTAAAGCAGCTGATTTTTTAATTATTTCTTTTAAAGTAGCAATCCTTTTTTCTTCCCGTGTTTTTAATCTCAAACACCACCTCATACAATATTTAAAATAGTTATTTCTATGAACACGACTAGTGTCCGATTACAATTAGAAGGACACAACTACGTCATCATCTGGCAAATTAGTTAATTAATTTTCGCCGCCTACTGGGGGTTTAGTGGAGTGTTAATATTATAGAAATAAATTATCATGAATATGTTTTGTGTTTATGTTACTGGGGATAAAATATTTATGAGATATGAGTGTTGCTGCATATACCTATAAAGATCAAGTCTAGAACTGAAATAAGACACAAAACTAGTTTGCTAGGAAAGATTAAATTCTCATTATTGCTCACAAACAATCAACATCTTCGGTAAATTATTCTGTTTTATTATATTTTAATATTATTGCTTTTAAAGTAGTTAATATATCCTTTCTATATAGCAAAACCATAATTTATGGGTTTTATTTGAAGGTTAGGTCCATAATTTATACACAGCTTATAAGCTGTGGTTTACACATGTTTATTTCATAAGGTTGTCAGTAATTTGATAATCTCTGAAATATAAGACGCATGCTCAATTCTTATTTTACGGACATTTATAAATATACTTTATTTTTATATCTTACGTTAAGTTTCTAAGGCGTTAAGTTAAGTTACTTTACGGTGGTTATAAATTATACTTAAGTGAATCTTTTATTGAACTACAATCCACACCTCTACAAGTTTCGCACTTCTTAGAAATTCCTTAGTCTATGTGCTACCTCAAAAGTCTGGTGTAGTTGTAGTGGTTAATTATTGTAAACCTGGCTTACGACGTAGAAATTATTACTCCTACTTTCAAATCGTACAATAATAATGTTAGCTCTTAATTTATATTTTCAAATTTACGCGCCGCGCCACTGACCAACGAAAGCTGTGAATGTTTTGGTCCAGACATGCTGAGTAAGTCTTGATTATATATCTATGTGAGTAAGGAGTATGATGAGTTGGCCATAAGCGGCAATCGCCGGTTGTATTCTGACAATAAAATGAGTTGAATTGAATTATGGTGTTTAAATATAATTGAAAATGAGTCTGAGTGATCTAATTTCGATAAACAAATAAATAAACTAAACAATAATAAATATGACTAAATCCCCTAGTTATTTTTTAAACATTTATTGGCTTACCTTTATACTAGTCGGTGTAAGATAAAGAGGTGTTTTAAAAAATTCAAATGCAGTAATGCCCCACTTCTGAAGTGCATTCAAAAATTCTTCAGAATTGTAATCAAATATCCTGATCGTTGTAATATTAGCAGTTACGTTCAGAGAGGAATAATCTACCGTATGGGCATCCTAAAAATATAAATAATTACGAACCGCAGGTTAGAACATTTAAATTAAAAGGATAAAAAATATATTCACCAATGACGTCAAAAAATAGTTGAATCTGATATCTAACATGTCCAAACTTTTGGCTTGAGTCAAGATTGGTAAAATATTTTCTGTTTTGCAGTCCAGTATTATATTATTTTCTGTTGTGTTTCTGAATTTCTTGAACAAAGGTCTAAAAAAAAATAATTTCTCTTTGGTTCACTCTATTTATGATTTCACGTATTGTAGATAGAATACATCGTATGTCGCAACACTTTAGACATATCAAACCTTAGTATCGCGTTTCATTTGTTCGGAATGTTTAATAAATACAAATGGAGGTTGGGTATTAATTACCATGTTATTTCTATTACTTTCCTACTTTTATTTATTTAAAAGTATTATCTTATATACCTTGATGTTTCATCTTATTTAATAATTAATTACCTATAATCAGGACCATCAGTTAAATGCTGCACTCGTATAAAATCGTGATTGTCAGTTCTTTTTAAATTCTGTAATTTTAATACTTCTTGTAACTTCACTAAACCTTCTTCCTCTTCATATAATATTATTATTCCGACCCATCCCAAACTTCTCACAATGTCTGCTATACCTACAATACATTATAAAGAATAAAAAGGTTAATAAACACAAAAACCTAAGAAAATAACAAGTACATAAGATTAACATTTACGAGTCTGATAAACTTTGAAAAGGTGTTGGGTGGACTTCCAAATGAAAGGATCCGGGATTCGAATCTCACCGTGGACCGGAATTTTTCTAATTAATAGAGAGTTGAAGTATTTCCAGTATGTTAACGTAAACGTGAACGTAAACGCAGAAATATAATGTTTACGTTGAAGTCCAAAATCTGAGTTGAAGTTGTTAAACGCATCGTGACATTTACGTGTCATGACAGATAATGACAATTATTATTAGGATTTCTTCTTTCCCAATTAAAAAGAGGTTATTTTATTTTCGTTACGTGAAGGATATTTAAATGCGCATGCGTAGATGTCAATTTTCACGTATACGTTTACGTTCATAGCATCACTTCAACTCTCTAATTAGTTAATTAAAAGGCAAAACAAACTGTATTCCGGTCACAATACAAGTAGTTTTAAACTGTTGGATTCTAATTATTAATTAACAGTGTGGTACTCAGAAACAGTGTGAGTATTCAAATTCTGTGTAAATATGGTCTTAATGGAAAATAAATATAATAATTTTTAAAATAAAATATAAAGGTTTTAACTAGAAAGCACGTAACAAATATTGTTTTCCAATTAAATTTTAAAATATTAGAGAAAAAAACAATTATAATTAGCAGTTAACAAATTTAAATATTGCCAAATCTCAAGCATTATTACCCATTATTTATTTGTTTATAATTCTATTATAATATCGGAAAAATGAATGATTTCCCATAGTACACCATGATTATTTCAGGCATTTTTACATGGTAGGCGAAGATGTTTAATATTAAAAGAAATGATTTCATGTTATTTTAAATGGATGCGATGTTGCCAAATTAAGGAAAATATTAGTTTTTTTATTAATTTAAGGGTATATCTTAAAAACTTGGATGGAATGTGACGCATCGTTTAAAAGGTCATTTATAGAGTAAAATTAGAGTATCAAAATCCAAGATGGCCGCCATAAGAATTAAAACAAGTTACGGTAGGTAACATAAGACAATTTAGAAATTTTTCTATAAAAAATATTCTTCATTAAAAAGTGTTTTAAAAATTTGTAAACGTTGGTAACATCTGTTTATTTTAAACGTTTGTAACGTTTATTTATTTGAAAATATTTATTTAAAACGGTTTATTTATAATTTGTTTGCAATAAAATTCTACTTAATTTATTTAGACTTAAATATTTATTTCAGAACTATTTATATTTCACACTTATAATTTATTTAACAATTTATCTTTTACAACAATTTTAAAAGTTAACTTATTACGGCAAAATAATCCACTTGTATACAAAAATGTAACAGTCTAGAAAAAATACAATTCGCGAAATCCTTTCTCCACGCGTTGGTCTACGTACAAAGAACATTCCAGTCGATTCTCGATCGGCCAGCGTCAGCGTTAACGGCAGCGGTGAATAAAGAACATAGCTGGACTGGTTGCACGGGATTGTCCTTTCCTTAAGAGATAGTTCTTCCTGGAACTAAAACTGGATGGTTTTATCTGCAACTGGACCATCTTTTACAATGGGACGATTTTCGCTGTAATCTGGACCACAGAAAAGTATTTGAATCTAGGTATCTTGGAAGATGACTTTCAATGGTCCTCCAATTTAGCTGATTGCTCTACATCTTTGGAATGGCCAGTTTCTGTACATTGGACTTCAGTACGTACTCCTTCAGACTAAGTATACTTCATAATAAGGATCGATCTTGAAAGATATTCTTTGTTACGAAATAGAAAAGGTAATGTGATCCATTGTGAAGTTTCAAGGCTTTTCCAGGTGCTAGTAACTGAGCAAACTTCTTCTGGGACATAGATTTCAGACCTCAAGCGTGGTTGATGCTAGCGAAAGTGCTATGGACCAGCGAGTAGTATTTAGGAACCGAGAATAGATCTTGTTTTTGCTCGGTTATAACTCCATGTCTTACATTTGCAATACCTCCATATGTACCCATAAATTCTTCAAAGATAAGGTCCGTGGTTTCTTGGAGCTGATTTACTTTTTCTTCCTCGTCATGATCACGCTCAAATGGCGCCAGCTGGTTTTGGTGCACCTTCGGTTTACTGTTCGGGATCTTGTTTATACGGTAAATGATATCATTAATTTTTTCTTGACACTTGGGAGCTTTGGAGAATAACCCTTTTGTCTTTTTAGGTCATGGAGATAGACTTTGTCGCCTTCCTTGAAACATCTTTCTGCGACCCAATGAGTTACAGGACAGAATATCAGGTGTTAGAAAAATCCTTCAGAGAGTTATATTAAATAAAGGAGTTGTGTAAGAAATGTACCACTGGTAATAAATACAGGATGGTGGTTATGGATTATTTCAAGTAGATTTTGAGTGCCCTTGGAGATCTATAGTCACAAAGGCAGATATTTTGAACACTAGCTCTTCCGAGGAATCTGCAAAAGACTAGGCATGAAGAAAACCAGAACTATAAAATTGCACTTACAGTCAGATGGAATGATTGAGTGAATGAATAAAACCATTGACAAATAGGTACCTGCCAAAAGTGATTTCCAATCATTAGCAAGATTGGGATGAGTACCTTTCACTTTTCATCATGGCATATAGATCCGCTATCAATGAATCAATAGGCCAAACACACTGGCGTGAGATGAGACTACCGTGTGACCTCGAGTTTGGATGCCGATCTAGAAAAGATATAGCTGCTGAAGAATATGTGATCTAGTTACAAAAAAAATGAACGACATGTATGAGTAAGTTAGCTCGCATCTTCAAATCACCAACGACAGGATGAACAAACCCAAGCCACAGAAGGATGTTTCAAGGAAGGCGACAAAGTCTGTCTGCATAACCTAAAAAGGCAAAAGGGTTATTCTCCAAAGCTCCAGAAGTGTTGGGAAGGTCCGTACCTTATCAAGAAAAAATTAATGATGTCATTTACCGTATAAACAAGATCTCAAACGGTAAACCAAAGGTAGTGCACCAAAACCAGCTGGCGCCATTTGAGGGTGACCATGACAAGGAAGAAGAAGAAGTAAATCAGCTCCAAGAAACCACGGACCTTGTCTTTGAAGAATTTATGGGTATATATGGAGGTATTGGAAATGCAAGATATGGTGTTACAACCGAGCAAAAACAAGACTTCTCGCTATAAACCAATCTAGAGAAACCATGTACTCGCTCTTAGAAATGCAATATACATGCTGTGATATGTTAGGTTTTAAATGAAACTCGTTCTTTGATGTCAATTTGAAGATTGTTTTTATTGATGGCTTGTCATAATAGACAGCCGAGAGCGCACTGTTACCAACCCTAAGTATAGTTCTTTCACGATACATATATTACATATGCTAACAGTTAAAGTTTGTACCTCTACCCAGTGTCAGATTAGGCCGTCTGTCTATCGTATCGTTAGGCCTTCGTTCAAGCAGTGGGCTCTCGTTCAAGCAGTGGACCCTCGTTTAAACAGTGGGTCCTCGTTCAAGCAGTGGGCACTCGTTCAAGCAGTCACTCCTTGTTTAAGCAGTAGGTCTTAGTCTAGTCAGTGGGCTCTTGGTCAGACAGCGGACCCTTGAAGAAGAACGTGAGAGGACCCTCCTTTTGCTCTTCAATAAAAATCGGATCACCAAAAAGGTAAAAAGTTGGGCACTTCTCCCTTCTGACCGGTAGGACCTGCAGATCTCAATCCGGCACTGTCTCTACCAAGCCTAGCGGAGGCATACCGATGGTTCGACAATTAATAGCAAGCGTGACGAAATCGATGTGAACAATGGAAGTTGTAAAAGGCAGCTCGTTGGCTCTTGTGTGTATGAAGGAAAGCTGAGCGTATTGCTCCCTCGTTATTGTAGAATGGACTCTTCCAACTAACGAACGCATGACAACATTAAGCGAAGATCCGTTAGAAATTATTTTAAGTTTAATTGAGTGTGACAAGGCAAGACACTGCGAATTAAAAAAAACATAATATGTAGTGGAATGTATTTGAAATTCGTGGGTTTGGGCACAGGTTGCTATTGTGATAGGGTAGGTCTGCAATTAAAATTAAGAATGTACTATAAATATAGAGACTCACTTTGTCATTTACTCTACTAATAATAGCAATAATTGAGTATTTAGTTAGGTAACATCTTATAAAAAAATCTTCAACAATAATAAAATATAAAATTTAATTTATTTTGCAAAATACCTTTCGCTAACTTGTCAGCATCAGGATGAAAATTCAAAAACACATCCGATTCTTCAAAACTTGTCATTCTCCATGAAGTAACTATGTACGGTAGATTAAGGTTTTTGCATGTAGATTCTACTACCGGAGAAGTCACATAAGTCGAAGGACCAAGAATAGCTACTACACCATCGTCTATGAGGTTGCATACTAAAATAGATATAATTTTGTATTGTAATGAAAATAAATGACAATTAATTACTATAAATAAGTGGGTACTAAGTTTAACACGACTAAATTGTTAATTTAAATACTCACTGTCTAATTCACAAACGATCTTTAAACGTAGGTAGAGTAAAAACAGACTTTTGTTTCATTACGAATGGGATACAGAAAAACTAAAGATTCTCTGATTAAAAATAAGACGCTTAAACGAAACATGCTTATATAAAATATTACTGATTTCCCAAATACAGAGTATTAAAGTTGAAAATTTCAAAATTATTAATGGCTACATATTTTTTATTTACTGTATACTGTTTAACTTCGTATTGTACTCAGAGGATTGAGCATTCTGTCTATGGCATCGTACTCTTATTTTATCTTTGGGTGATATGGTCATCATATCCATTCTTGTTGAACAAACTAGTATTTTCTACATCCACATGGATATTAGCTAATTTACGCACAGACTACAAAGCGAAAAAGTATGATATTTCGTTCAACTGAACGAATATATTTCATATCCATTCTAGGTAGTAAGAACACTGCAAAAAATGAAATCCACCAATTACAGTTCATATTTTGGATACCTAAATACCATTATTTTTAAAATTTTAATTAAGTGACAATTCTGTAAGTATATTTCTTGATTATTGAGATTAAATATGCAATAAAATTATTTATTTTTGTGTAGAATCGATAAATACATTTTTTTATTTGGTCCATTTTGAAAAAAAATAAATAACTTTTAATCAAAACTATATGAAACTAATTCAATTACGAGTATTAAAACTAAAATCCTAAAAATGGCGGTGGAGGCGAGGACAGAGCTTCTGCCTTCCATGCGAAATTTCCGGTATCGAATCTGGGCTGGAGAATATAAATCTTTTTTTTTACGTTTATTTTATTTTATAAATTAGTAAAATTTTATAAAATATTGTTTTTATTTGTAGATTTTCATTATTGGGTCGTAGAAAAAATATACTGAACAATTTGAGTGGATTATCCATATCCATTCTTGTTGCATAAAGTACTATTATTAACCAGTTTTTACTTACTTTGCTTTGATGTATCAAAAATGTCTATTTTACTGACAACCTGCACCTTGCTTGATAGTGACACAGAAGTTTCTTTCTCTATAATATTGTTTCTAACAATAGTATCATTCAAAGGCAATTCAGACTGGGAGGACGGTTCGTTGAAAATAATACCTATAAAAAAATAATTTTTTTTATTTATTTAATAAATTTTTCAATTAGAAGTTTTTAAAATGTTAGTTAAAGTAAACTTTTGATTAGAGGTGATATTGTTGACGTTTAAACTTATCATCAGTCCGACTTCAAAAAATAACAGCTAATAATGTATTGAAAAGTAAATATCTAGTTTCTTTTTTTTAGATTTTGGTGTAATAGCTTTAAGTCGAAATCAGTTACTTGTCTAAATACAGGAATCATTAATAATTTGATGTTATTCCATTATTGTATGATTTTGCTACTTTATTATTTTATTCGCTCCGTGCGTGACAGCAAGGCTAATTCATTTTTGTACTAATGGACTATTTTTGCCTATACTGACAATACATTTTTTTTAATAGAATTCGTAATTAAAAAGTATATATGTTAGTTTTAATAAAAGTACGGATTTGTAAAACAAGTAAAACATTAATTAATTATTATTATATATTTTTATCGCTTAAACTAAAAAATTAAGTATATTCAATAATAATCAATAATAAAATAAAGGCAGGCAACAGTATTTACGGGAAAATGTACGAGAAGTTACCTAAGGCTAATAAGTTGTCTTTGAAGAATTAACCTATTCTGTCAAAATAAAAAAAATATCTTTAAATAATAGCTCGAAGTTAAAATGTATAAACAGAAGGAGTGTTATTGTTGTACATAGAATGAATGATTAAAACTGGTTTCCTATCAGTACGTCACAAAATTGCATTCCAGCTACATACAATAATCAAAAGCAGGAATCTAGTTCTTGTCCAACATTTAAGATTAATGATATGTTGAAGAACATCGTGAAATGATATGTATTGTTTATTTAAAACCTTTCAAGTTTCTGATGTCTACTATTTCCAGTATTACTGTTATTATTACAAAAATAAAGGTAATTTTTCTTCTTATTGTACAAATATCCATTTATATCTTTGATTTAATTTCCACCTTGCTACTGTTTTTTTTGCTAGAATTTTTACAATTTTCAACACGGCAACTCCGGTTGCTTATTGTATTGTTTTTACCTACTTTTTTGAAAAAAAGTAAAATGTATACGTGTATTTGATATGCCAAAATTACAAAATATCGCCCTACATGCACGAATTATCCGCAGCTAGCTATCGCCTTTGCTTCCCCTACTATGACTTCGCACTGAACGAATACAATGAATATATTGCTGTATACCCCCTTTTTTATTTTTTACTTTGGACCCCCCTGCTATCACTCTAATCCATCTGTAGCCTGGCGGCACGGCACCCTGCCGCTTATTGTACCACCATTTGAAGGTCCTAGTACTTTCCCATTCCCTCATTCACTGTCCCACGGACAGTGTCCATTTATTCCACGTTGTCGATGGTTAAACCCTAGTCGGCTAAGTCCTACGGAAATACGGCTAATGGTGGAACGTCCCAGTGGTTACCCATCCACGACGTGATCGAAGAGATCACGGAATAACTGTTGCGATAATGTGGATGCACACTAATCTCACGGCTAGCTTCTCCGGGACTGTATACCCCCTTTGTTTCTCTAGATTGGAATAACACTACCAATTCTCATCTCATTTCATCGGGAATTTTTTCTATTTATAAAGGTACCATTTCGGGAGGCGCGACAGACGACAGACGACAACAGAGGCAACGGCAAGGACGACAGATGCATTAACGTTACGCTCTGCACATTTGGGAAGCAAGGAGACAAGTGACACGACACCCGCAGACAAACATTCGAGGGAACGATCAGCTTTGCCAGACCTACTGTTTTTAAGTAGATCCACTGTTTTTGTCTCTGTTCTCCTGTTTTAGGCATGAAATCTACTTGGTAAATTTTGTTCTTAATTTATTAAGTTTGCCTCATTCTTCTGCAAATGGTCGTAAAAATATTTTCTCTAGTAAATTGGCTGAAGTAAAAGCAGCGTAAAATACATCCACTACTGTAAATTGGCTTCATAAAAAAACCATTTTATTTAAAATGCAACAAAGAATTAATAGGGCATCATAAAAAGAACATGCATGCCAAACAAAACGATTTTTAATTATCTGATCTTAAAGATGTAGGTACCTATTATTTTTCATTGGTTTCTTTTTTCGTTTCCGTATGTTAAGTATATATTAAAAATGTTATTTTTTGTTTCTTATATACTGTTTTTTTTTTTATTTACTACACTGCAAATTATAATTATTTCCCCCTTGTATTAAAATCTACTGTTCAGATCTGTTTTTTTCACCCATACTGTTCCAGCAAATGTTCATATGGCAACACTGCCTAGATCGAAAGAATTTTCCAACTACCATTTATATAAAATATCGACTAATCACCTTGAAATACAAGCGATGTCTGAGGACAGTGAGGACTGAGTGCGACAGGCAGCAAACGTTCTGCCCCGAAACAAATGTAATGTGTCGTTGACGTCTCTCGGACGTGTCGCGCTTTGAGAAATGTGTTTTACATAATTGCATGTATTCAGACGTGAAGAGACCATTCTCGGTCGCCTTTGCCGTCGCCTTTTCCGCCCCCTCTGTTGTCGTCTGTCGCGAATACCGAAATGGTACCGTAAGGATAATAACTAAATAAGTGTAAAACATTTAAGGGGGTGATTCCTCATCGAAAAAAAGATAGGATCTTTCATATAAAGAAACTTAATTGGAGCATCCCTTGTTAAGATACATCCCCTTAAAGGGGGGTACATAAAATTTGTTTAATAATTTTTTTCACAAGCACTAAACAAGTTACAATATTGAAATTAACCTGACATTTTCTACTACCAAAAAGACACTTAGCCAGTAATTTATTAGGTATACCCCATGGTTGTAAGGGGTGGAAAACGCAACCTCTAAAATTTCGTTTCAACGTAACTTTTTGTCTTATTATTTGTTTACCATTTAAAAATTTATTTCCGATAGCCTGTTTCATTCTAAAAAAAAAATGTCTCTGTGTAATGGGGGAAGCTGAAAAACGAGTGCTACATGCGTAGCGCTCTTAACACGCGGGAAATTTAAATGAAAAGAAAGTGTCACAATTACGCGGCTGTCACAAATACGCGAATGCCACCCACATACTTTGATTTTAAGTACTCTAGAAAATATGTGTTGATAAGTACAATGTAATTATATCAAGAAAAAGCGAAGGAAAATAAGGCTCTTGGTAACGTGTAACATACAATATTTTTTAAAATTTTGACTAGATTATTTATAAAATTGTGCTCTGATAAAAACTGACATCTAGGCAACCAATTTTAATACTTTTTTGTATTGTCAGTTGCATATATTATTAACTTAATTATTTTATTGACAAATAGACAACCATATTCATTAATTCTCAACGACTTATTGTAGTGTGCTTATATTGCTTGTTAGAGTTTTGATTTCAAGAAAGTAAGTTATTTTGTCGCGTATTGTGTTTTAATTATTTTGTGCAGATTTGAAATAGAAAATAAGGATCAAAACAATATTATTACTAAGTTGTAAGTTAAGCCAAATTCTACTCTTATAAGTCAACCTGCCCTTCTTTGATATAAACTTTCAACAAAAATGTATATTATTGATTTTAAAACCAAAGAAAAGATTTATTTTTATTTGTTTTCTTTTCGCAACTGTTGACAACCAGTTTCATAATGTTCATCATTATGCTACTAGTTGAATAAAGTAAATCATTTTGGCCCTTGCTGCCATTACATAAAATGTCACCTTATATGTCAAAATTAGAAAAAATATATTAAGAAAACGGGTATTTTATTATTTAATATAATTCTGCTGGTTACTGACCTAACTACTATTTCTGTCAAATAAAAAATGTGGGTAAAGTTGCTAAGTATAGTTTCCTTGTATATATTTTTAGAAATCTACGAGTAGGTAGAAACAGTTAAATGTTTTCATTCCATTTCTAAACATTAAATACCATAATAAATGCATAGGTACATGCTATAAATATTGCTATTGTAAAACATCAATAATATTTTGAACCATGTGTATTGCCTGCAGTTAAAATTTTATTTCTATTTCTGGGATCGAAAACATAAATGATTTTGGTCTTTTGACGAAACCCATATTGTGTATCATGATTTAATTCATAGATAAACGAGGTATTGAGGATGAGTATTCTATATACAGAGTGTAACCAAAAAGTAGGTCATAAATTATACCAAATATTCTGAAGTGAAAATAGGTCGGTCAGAACTAATTTACATACAAAAATTATTAAAAAGTTATTCAATTTTGAACTGTTGGCGTTTATTTCTATATTTTATCTATGACACTCATTTTTAAGCCAGTATATAATAAGTTTTATTTATTTTGACTTCATAAGGTAAAGTTGGAAAATAGAACATAATTTGTTGTGTAGTTACCTACTAGTCACTACAAATACTATGATAATATCTTTGACAAGTTAAATGTAAAATGGTAATCTCTATTAAAACAAAGTTATTATATGAAAATATTTTATTTTATAATAGACTTTTTATAGGTCCATAATCTGAAATATGATACAAATCAAAAAGTCCAACTACAAAACCTACTAAAAGTTATGAAAGAGCCATATAAAAATAATAGTAATAACAGGATTCTTTTTTGAACACCCCCTTGGGATCCGTTTCGTGTTCTGGCTACTGTTGCCTCAACGGGTTGAAAAATGAACAACTTTCTTAATTGAAAATGAAGGATAAGAAATCAAATTATTTAACATGGACAATATGAAAATAATAACAAGATATTATAATAATTGTGGTTAACAAACTTCTAAGGAAATGACGAAATTGCTAGGTACCTATTTCAACAACTTAAACTCATGAACATGTCAGAAAATACAAAACGAGCACTTGTATTTGACTTGTATCTTGTATCCTGCCTAGTCTGATTTGTTAGGTAGTTACAAAATCACTCTAGCATTAATACAAACAACGACACTTTCTGAAAATAGCCACACTGGTTTTACAAAATAATTGTATGTGACACTTCATTCACAATTCAACACTAAAAAAACGTTATTACAATAATAATCAAAACATGTAGAAATGCGTCGGGCGCTCGATGTACGAGAAATATGGACAAAGCGCCCCACGCTTTTTTCACAATAATACTAGTATTTTCCATTTATTATTGTTTTAAGCTTATTTGAAAAATTATTTTTAACTTTTTAGTTTGCTATGCTCTAAAAGCGTGTTTTTTTAGTTTTTTTAAACTATATTTATATGTTTCACTTTTTAGTTCGATGTGTTATAAAAGCGTGTTTTTTAGTTTTTTTTAAAACTATATTTATAAACCAATCTGACTTTCATATACGGCAAGCCATCACTAAAAGTTCTCAAAATACAATTTTTATTAAAGGGTTACAAAAATTTAATAGACGGTCTATAGAAATTAAAAAACAAACAATACATGTATTCAAAAGTAACCTCAAACAATACTTGATAAATAAACAGAACGGATATATCTACTTTCTTGTGATAATACTCTTTAAACCTGTCCTTTTTAAGTATTTCCCTTAATTTATTGTTATTTTACCCCTCGTTTTACCCGTATTTATTATAAATTATTTCTGTTTTGAGATCATGTACTTTATTTAAAAAAATTACTTGATATTATATTAATACTACCTACCCTGTTTAATTTATTAATAGTTTTGTGACTATAGTTTATAGCAACTTATATTTACAATATTATTATTATTATTATTATTATTATTATTATTATTTTTGTGTTAAAGTAGATCCATAGAGACAATATAATTTACAAAGGCCTTCTTTCAACATACAAATAAAAGATAACTTTATAATTAAAATGAAAAACACAACAAAATACCTCGGTATCATGATGGATCAAAATTTGAAATGGGTCACATTACGTAATTAACAACCAAAGTTAGAAGATTCATTTTTAAATTTTACGAATTGAGGGAATTTAGGACTAGGAGTTTACTAATTATTATTTACAATTCACTGGTTGAATCTATTTTGCGATATGGTATAATGTGTACTATATGATATTGCGCTTCAACTCCTTAATGTAATACAAAATCGTATAATTAAAATTATCTACAAAAACCAGCATTATATAAAAGAGAATAATAAAAAAATGCTTTGTATAAGAACATTATATTATCTGTCTTGCTGTACCTTTATTTATGGAAAGCCTGAATTGAGATACACTACAAATTATTTGCAATAAATATCAAAAGAAGCATACAAACATTTTTAAATAATTTGACATTTAAGAGCTATTCACACATCACAGTTGACATCTTGATACTTGACAGGCACAGCCAAGCATTATTTTGATTTTTCCAAATAAAATGGCCGGTTAATTATTCTATCGGGTTTCAACAGAGAGCCAGTAAATTTGATGAAGGTGTTTTTGTGGCTAGGGGCGAAATAGTAGTAAGTTTAAGTTAGTACTACCATAAAAAATCTGATGTGTCCAACACATGACTTTCCTATCTAGTTATTATAGGCTTTTTCCGGTTATTTTGTACAACCTATTGCTGCACCTCTATAAATGTTTAGAGGATAAACTAAATACATACATTTTCCACATACATCTAACTCGACACATTTTTCTATAATATATATTCCATAAAATATAAAAACGGCCTTCCATACAGTACCCCCCCCCAGATGTTCCGGCTTTGTCCAAAATCTAATCATTTTATCTCAGGCCGAAATAAAATAATTTTAAAATTTAATGTATTTGAACAATTTTTATAAAAAAATATTTTTTTTACATTTTGTCAAATTTCTCGAATACGGATCATTTTAGAAAAATTTTATATGAAACAAACATTAATAATATTGTAAGTAACTTTTATTTAAAGAATTTTTTTCTACATACACACACACACACACACACACACACACACACACACACACACACACACACACACACACACACACACACACACACACACACACACACACACACACACACACACACACACACACACACACACACACACACACACACACACACACACACACACACACACACACACACACACACACACACACACACACACACACACACACACACACACACACACACACACACACACACACACACACACACACACACACACACACACACACACACACACACACACACACACACACACACACACACACACACACACACACACACACACACACACACACACACACACACACACACACACACACACACACACACACACACACACACACACACACACACACACACACACACACACACACACACACACACACACACACACACACACACACACACACACACACACACACACACACACACACACACACACACACACACACACACACACACACACACACACTCACACACACACACACACACACACACACACACACACACACACACACACACACACACACACACACACACACACACACACACACACACACACACACACACACACACACACACACACACACACACACACACACACACACACACACACACACACACACACACACACACACACACACACACACACACACACACACACACACACACACACACACACACACACACACACACACACACACACACACACACACACACACACACACACACACACACACACACACACACACACACACACACACACACACACACACACACACACACACACACACACACACACACACACACACACACACACACACACACACACACACACACACACACACACACACACACACACACACACACACACACACACACACACACACACACACACACACACACACACACACACACACACACACACACACACACACACACACACACACACACACACACACACACACACACACACACACACACACACACACACACACACACACACACACACACACACACACACACACACACACACACACACACACACACACACACACACACACACACACACACACACACACACACACACACACACACACACACACACACACACACACACACACACACACACACACACACACACACACACACACACACACACACACACACACACACACACACACACACACACACACACACACACACACACACACACACACACACACACACACACACACACACACACACACACACACACACACACACACACACACACACACACACACACACACACACACACACACACACACACACACACACACACACACACACACACACACACACACACACACACACACACACACACACACACACACACACACACACACACACACACACACACACACACACACACACACACACACACACACACACACACACACACACACACACACACACACACACACACACACACACACACACACACACACACACACACACACACACACACACACACACACACACACACACACACACACACACACACACACACACACACACACACACACACACACACACACACACACACACACACACACACACACACACACACACACACACACACACACACACACACACACACACACACACACACACACACACACACACACACACACACACACACACACACACACACACACACACACATCATTGCGAAAATAGTCGAAACGGATTCAGGGGACCCCAAAACGTAAAAATCCGTGGAAAACTGGAGGTCGAAAAAAATCATTCTTATTGTTAGACATTAGAAATAATTGGAATTCCTAAAATTAGTCATATAAAAAATGCATAGGCAGATTTTAAGAAAATTCTGAAAATCAATAGGGTCTAAGTTAGAAGTAATTATTCAAGAAAATCAAAACCGCAAGTCAATCAGAACAGTCGTTCTAGAGTTATCGTACCGGCATACATACACACAGACAACCAGACGAAAAATTTTTTTTGCATTTTCGGAAAAGTTTTAAAAAATGGGGGTAAAAATTTTTTTCGTCTGCACGAATGCAATACTGAGGCCCCATAGGAAGGGCTTCAGTAATTTGTAAATTATTTGTAAACGCTTCTTATATATGTATTTGTCACTAAACAAGCTAAATACCTATAAATGTTTTAATGCCTAATGAATTATTCCCTTTAAAGCAAATATAAAAACTAATTAATTTAAAATAAATATTTATGCATTAAGTATAAATACCTACTCACCTATATTATACGTTTCTTTTTTTACACTATAACACTTTTGAACTAATATGACTACCACTAACAAATTAAAAAACGAAATAACGTTCATTTCCATTTTTTAAATTATTTTTAATCAACATTTATAAAAAAAACTATTTTTGTGAGTTTCTAAAGGGTCTTTAACACACAAAATGTGCTAAACAAATGTGACTGTTTCTACTTGGTTCTTTGCCAGATTCTAACTTATATTTATACATCTTGCCGGAGACATTAGAACTTCAAACGGTTTAATATTTGACTAAATTGCAGCGTAAATTGATATGAAACGATAATGAAAAAATATTTTTTTATATAAAATAAATACGCTGGATATATATACAAAGAAATATTTAAAAATAACTTTATAGTAAGGGTGTTTCAATAAAAAATCGTGCCATCGCTTGTGTCGAGATTAGCTATTTGTCCGCGGCTTTGCAGGCGTGAAATATATGTTCTTAATAGAGACCAGATTCCTTATCTATAAATCGAAATAAACGATGTAATATCGTTTGCCTATTCATTACATTTATTGAAACATTACTTGAAGATATTTGTTAATGAGTTTTGATATTGGGATTCGAAATAATATCGCAGCGTCACTTATTTTTCCATTATTACAAATGACTGTTATTTGTTTACGTGCCTGAAGAAACTGTTTTCGTCATATTTTTCGTTTTTTTTTTCTATTATGCAAAAGTATGTTGAGAATATACAGGGTATTCCAGATATTAGACTTAAAATAAATCACCTTAATCCGAAAATACTGCATAAGGGAAGTCGTTATAATATTTTTTAATTTGGGTATTTTTATTATTATAAAATGTATAGGCTTAAATTTCTTGGTTTAAAATAAAAAAAATAACTTTTTTAAGTCTTTATTTAAATATAATACAAATTTGTCTGCAATATACACGATAGATCATAGATAAATTATTAATGAACATAAACCGTTTAAATGCACGGCACTGGTAACAAGTGGTTAGTTCCGGCCATACTATTTGGAGCCACCATCGCAAATAAGATAGCAGCGATGTTGCCAGTTTCCATAAACTTTCATGAGATTAGAGTTATTTCAAACGCATAAGCTGCACCTTATTTTGTTCTTATCATGCTCGATACCATCCATATAATGTCCATACTGTTTCTGGGATATTTTAGAGGTTTGACAACTGTGTTGATAACCTCGTTAAAAATGAAAAACGGAATGGCGGAAGGCGAAATGGTCGAAAAATGGACAAAAACCATCATTAAATAAAAGTTATTATAATCTAGGATGTAGTGGATATAATTATCCTTCCTACATGGGATATAGTTCCATAAATAGGTAAGTTATTTTTAGGTTAAGAAGATTGATAAGTACTGATTTGATGTAATTAGTAAGTATTAACAATTTAGTAAGGTGCTAGATTCATTAATGCCTTTGTTTATCATTGTTTGCTCATAGCCTTAACGAAGTATAATTTAATTTTGGATCGATTTTTAATTCTTTTTTAATATACCTATTTGTATCAAAACATGTCTGACCCGGGTAAAATTAAGTATTCTTGTTCAGTTCCTTAATTGTTTAAATAAGTATTCTAATATTCAGCAGGCTGGTTATTCAAATAAAACCTTTTTTATTAGTGATAAACAATTTGAACAACCCTCTGTTAAAAATAAAAAATTATTTTCAAACTCAAATTTGTTAGATCAACTAGAACAGATTAGTTAAAATATAATTCAAATCTACTATTGCACTATGAGAAATAATCTGAAAGTTTTTTCTATGAACTAATTTTAAACAGATTAAAAATAACTTTTACTTTTATAAGAATGGGCTACATTTTGATAAGAGAAATTTTTCAATAAGATGTAAGTATGAACACTTTTTTGTTTTTATAGGAAACCCCTGACACCTGCACCAAAATTTGGTCCAGTTTTCCAAGAATGAGAGGATAATACTATTAATTTCACTTACAAAGTTATTGTTATTTGTACATGTTATGTATGTAATAAATGTTTAAATGCACCTTACTTTTATTAATTATTAAACTATTCCTACCTTTTGTTTCAAATATTTTAATATATTTTTAATTTATATTTTTTACTTATTACTTAAAAAAACTAATATTTATGTTAAATACAGTATTTTAATATAAATATTAGTTTTTTAAAGTAATGAATGCCAAAAAATGTAAAATAATAAAGGACATTTGAATAAGCCACGTTTAGGTTTGACACTCTTCTTATTAATTTTCTTCTTTTATGCTGACTCTAACTGTCAAGTTAATCAGCCAATTGGTTAGCGTGCGATGGGGGCTCCAAATAGTATGGCCGGAACTAACCACTTGTTACCAGTGCCGTGCATTTAAACGGTTTATCTTTTAATATTAATTTATCTATGCGATAGATACTATAAATGGATCGAAGATATGATATTACTATTTTATGTACTGCTATAAAAAGAAGATATTTAACAGATCGTGAGGTATTATGATGCCAAGAATTTTTTATTAATGGCCGACAATTGTGAAATTGTCTTTCAATGTTTGTAAGTATCGCAAATTTTTGCAAATTTAAAAGTTTTTTAGTAATAATAGTGGCAATAACTCCTTCTTAGTCTGACCTAAATAAGTTTGTTACCTGGTCTAAAAATAAGGCTCTTTCTATAAATGTTTGTAAAGTGGACAACGATACATCTTACATGATCCCATAATCCTACTGTTACAGTATTAGCAGCATCTACCTAGGTAGAAAGTTCGTTGATAGTTATTGATCCATGCATTATTTTTTATATCAATAACTTTTAACAACGACAGATTCTATAGCACGGGGGCTTATATCATATGCACAATAAGTAAACACGTTTCTGCGCATGCAACTCCGCGCTTGGGTGCTCTGAAGTCCGTTATACAATAGCAAAATTGTATTAAAATGTAAAGCACATTGATTAATTTAATAACATCTCGTTCAGTAACACACAAAAAGTGTTGTTTCAAAAATTTTAATTCATATATTACAACAAACTAAAAAAAACATGCGTTCACTTAGTTATTTGTACTATGTGAAGATGGCTTTCTGACTGCTAGCTGCCCGCTATAGCGGGCCCCGTGCGCGCTGTCAACAAATAACATCAAAACAAAATCAAACAAATGTGTGGTTATGTTATGGTTTTGGTTGTCGACGAAAACATGTGAGTGAAACTACTTTTATTTATTTTTTTAGATATAAGTTATTTAGGATTATTTAAAATCAAGTAAAGGTATTCATTATAAACACATAATTTCTAATTGTTATAGTACATTTTATAAGGCCCATTTCAAATGTAAATTTTAAGAACAAACATTTTTAAATTTCCTTCTGATATTGATCAAAGGAAGGAATGGTGTCATATTTTAAATATTCCACTCATTCCACGTACAACCAATCATTTATACATTATGTGAAAATCATATTTTGATACAAAATCGTTTACAAACAAATCGTTCAAGACTGCTAAAAGATTTGCTTTGCCTTGCTTTAGCATCCTCAAAACCAGATACACTAAAGATAGTAGTACTTAATAATATTGTTATCATACCTCCAAACAGAGTCCTGTGAAGATAAAGTTCATTTTAATAATATATACAAAATTAATAAATGAAGCAGAATTTGAGTCAGGCCACTAGTTATGTTGCAGGGTTCATTATAAAACTTAATAGTTTTTGACTGCAAAGAGTGTAAAGTTAATTTACAGACATGTTAGTAGACCATCGATACTTTTACTTATTTAAAAAAAAATGATGATAAAAGAAATTTTATTTATGTACAAAGAAATGTTATTGAATTTCTTTTAAAAATTCATGAAATAGTTTTACCACTTTTGGGTCATATTGACAACATAATTCAAAAAATTAAACTTTTTTTGCCAGACCATGTTGATTTTAAATGGTTTACATCAGAGGCGACTCGTGGCCTAGTCTATGAGGAGACTACTTTTAAAAGGCACATCCTATATACTTATTAAAAATATATGTCTATAAGAATACAAAAAGCAGAAATAATACATTGTATTCTAATAGAATTATATAGGGTAGCTGTTAAAGATGGAACCAAACATATAGTGCTTAAACGGTTCAACATACAAAACCCAAAATTTCGGAATTTCAACTAAATATATTTGCGCATATTTTAGCCCAGAAATTATTTTTTTATTATAACAAAATTTTAAGCATGGATGCCATCTTGATTTTTTTAAATAGCAACATAGGTCATGTGATATACCATTTGAAAGGGTTTAACACCCTGATTACAAAAATGTATGTATTTGACGTCTTGTGTCAAATACACAGCCTTCTACGCTCCCTATTAATAATATCCTTTTTGTTGTGTTTAGACCCCATATGTGATACATTTTTGTAATCAGGGAGTTAAACCCTTTCAAATGGTATATAACATGACCTATGTTGCTATTTAAAAAAATCAAGATGGCGGCCATGCTTAAAATTGTGTAATTATAAAAAAAATAATTTTGCGATTTATTGCCATCAAAATTAGATTAAATTTTGAAAAAGTGGCTCCAGAGGAACATATTTTAGCTACACGTACATGTTTTTTATTTCACTAAAAATAAAAAAATTACTACCAAAATGTTGTATGGCTATATTTCGTATTAGAAAATAATTGCAAAAGTAAATTCTCCTTTAAAAAACCCGCCAATTTTCAAATTAAATATAAAATTACGGGTAACTGCATTACCGACAGAGTAAGAGTTGATGGTAATACTGCTGGTAACTACATTACCGACAGAGTAAGATTAGTTCTACTCCTCCACCCCACAGGTCGCTGCAAGCAAACATGTTGCCAAATTTCTACAAAGAAATGGCAACTCTTAATAATCCTTCCTCCATGTTCTATAGTATGCAAAGCCCTCAGAATTCTTGGCTTCATCGAGAGAATAATACAAAAGCTATCACTATACTTTACAATGGCCTGGTGAGAAGTATTCTGGAATACTGTTTTATTTGGCAAACTACTTACCTGTTCTTTAAACTCCGAATTCATTGCCATAACTAGGGTGGCCAGACGTCACGCTTTAAGCGTATTTTCCACGCTTTTTGATTTGCTTGTACGCTCAACGCCACAGTACGAAAATGTCCCGCTTTTGAAAAAAATACCATTCTTCTAATGCAAATGTCACGCTTTTTAATATTCAAAGCCGTAAATAAAAAAGGAGGAACTGGTTTTATAGAAAAATATAAGGGGAAGCCCTTTTTTTAGGTAAATATCGACTAAAGGACCCTCATTTCCGAAAAATACAAGCGCTTAAGGACCTTTCTTTTAGAAATTTCACAAATAATGAACCTGATTAC